AATTCGGGTGATCGACATGCTGATCGCTACTATCAACAACATTTGGAACCCCTGTATGGGGACATGTCCCATGACTAATTAGTAGCATGCATGTCATTTAATTTAGCATTGTATGCTTTCAAAGAGGTGTGATGTTTACTCGTCATACCGATAAACTTGCGAATCGTAAACTTGTTCACACAACCGGGTGCAATAGAGTCAGCGGGACATCGTAGTCATTAGTAATAGTTCCTAATTTAACCGTTACTATCTGCTCATAAGCAACGGGCACTCGAAGATGAGTTCATGGGAGGTTTTAGTTCAGAACGCTTATAATAATGTACAAGACGGTAATCTAAAGGTTTGTACTATATATCACTCTCGCATGTCTAAAACAACCTATCAAATGATCAAAGGAACTGAACCTTGACGATTTTACTCTGTAATCGTTATTATTTATCATCAGAACGCGTATGCTGGATACCTGAAAGCTGCTACCCTCTTACTAAACAAACTGGCCACTGAAGCTCCTACTAAAGGTGACGATCCTTCTATTGCATATACTTCAGTACTTGCATGTGAATTGTGTTCCATACAAAATAACGCGATTTAACCATTATATTTACTGCATGGATACTATCTATATTACATTCTCTTCATACATGCGGTGTCTGTTATACCCTCACAATATTACTAGCAGATGCCAATATTAAATCCAATAGCATTCGTTCATTCCAACAGCTTAAAACATGCATACAACATGCAGAGGATATCCTCGCAAATCGAGTCATAAATGGCACTCTTCCGTCCCCACAATCATCCTTCAACGACGTTACCCCATTGCATTCACCTTCAAGCAACCTCCCATTAGTACCATTCTCTCCACTCACCCGCCAATCACTCATGACCGTAAGTGCCCTCGCCACTCTATCCAATAAAGTTGCAGTAACCAGACAAAAACCCGTAACCGATTCAAACGGAAGCAGTGAGCATGCAAACAAAGAGTTTCGTAAACACATGGAGGAGCTCCATTCACAGAAGGCCAGACTCGATAATATCAATGTGCATATACAAACTATCTCGACTAAATCACTGATTCACTGGGATGAGGACACAGTTGCGAAACAACTGACCATTATTGAGAGTCAACTATTTACAAAAGTAGATGTGAGGAAAGATTTCTTATCGAAAGATAAGAAAAGGTCTTCAGTACAAGCATGTTTGGATTTCCATCGATATTTGACTAATAGTCTTACCCATCAATTTATTATATTTGCTGATACGGTGAGATCAGGACAGAATCCAGGGAGAAGTCAGCAGAACGACAATATTATTGCTCGAGGCATTAAAATTGCTTATCTTCTGCTACATGTTTATCGTAATTTTAATAGTTTTGCAGCCATAGTGAAGGCATTGGTTTCTCCTGAAGTACGTCGTTTACGCCGTCTATGGGTCAATCTTAATACACGTACTAGTCAAATTCTTAAGGATCTTGTAGTGTACATTAGTCCTGCCAATGAGTATAAAGCATACAAGGAGTTTCTCATCCAGAAGGTGGATTCATACCGTGATCATGAAGCTGGTGTGATCATCGTACCGTGGATGTTACCGCACTATGAAGAAATTAAGAGTGTGTCTCAGACTTGCGGTGATTCATCAATAGAGGCATTAGGAGCACGTAAACGTTCCTTTATCTTCTCATTGCTTGAACAATGCCAATCTAACATGATTTCAGCGGATGATGACGAATGGGGCAATACACGGAAATTGTGTTCGTCTGGATCTCGTGCCAAGGATACTATGGTTGTTGATAGTGTTACAATGGCGTGTCCACCTGATTTATCTTGTTTAGGAGTTGGTGACCTTGGAGTATATCACTGGTTGGTGTCGCGTGTTTATCTGACAAAGAGACAGTTGGTGGATGAAAGTTTGGTAATCGAGCCATTGGTTAATGGCGAACCAGTGCTCAGGGTAGATGAGGATGAGTTATATGATTACAATAGTGATCAGATTAGCGTTGAACACGAAGATAGTGCGAGTGACTCTGGGGATGCCATTGATCAGAAGTCTTCGTTCCAGTTCCCAGGCAGGATACCGGTGTCTAAAACAACTGAAAGGTCGAATGAAGAGAATAGAAGTCTCCTTGAATTGCAATTGTCGGATAATAGATCATTACTTAGTTCATTAGAACCATATGTGATTCGTGGAGAGTCATCCACCGATGGTAATAGTGATAATAATAGATTGAATGAGACAACAAAGGGGAATTCCAGTACAGCCACTGGTTCGCCATTTGATCTTTTGTCGCTTGACAAAACACAGACAAAGACAACAGTTACCAGTTATACCCCATCTGTTTCTCATGGTACAAGTACACCGGCAATCAACATACCACAGACGTCATCACGTTCCCATCCAACTCAGTCATCGCTTCCATCTGACTCATCAAAGTCACTCAATCCAAATGCGCCTGCATTTGTTCCTCGTAGCTTTGGTTCCAAATCCAATCCACTTACGGTGACTGGATTTACTGTTCCTAAGACGACTCTTTCGTCCAGTCTGAATGATAAATTCGTATATACTCCATCGGCTACGAATGGGAAGACAATTAATGGGAATGACGAGGATGATGTTGGGTTTGTATACTTGGGTGCCGATAGCAATACCAACAACACTGCTGGTGTTGAGGAAGACGATGAGAAGTTCGTGTACACGCACAAAGAGACTAACATGGAAGAAGACGATGATGAAACACCGTTTGTGTACTCGAGTAACAATAACGATGAAAATGGTGACAGCAATGATAAGTCTCCAATCCGAGAATCGCCCGAAGATACGTTTGTATATCAGCCTAGTAATGAAGACAAGAAGGTGCCTGGATCACCTAAAGCAACACCATATGTTATTGGACATAGTTCCAGTACAGGAAGCGATTCAGATGTGGGCTCTGGTAACGCTGAAATCGCACCAGTGTTTACCAAAGTCTCCGAGAGTAAAGCGGTGGAGAACATCGGCGGTGTTGATGAGTTGAACATCAAATTGAATACCGAAGCAACGGATTGATGTAAATTTATATTATTCATTTTGTGAAAGGTTGGTATTTAAATTGACTATTAGTCTGATAGTTGGTTTGTCTGTCTGATAGTTTTAGGTTGTTAGTTGTCCTATTTATTAGGGAACTCTACGTTAAAGCCGTTTACGACTGTATTCTCTGTAAGTTTAGCTCGTTTTCCGTACAGTGAGACAATATAAAGTAGAACGTGGTTAACAAAATATTCGAGTTCCTGTCGATAAGCATGCAGAATCGGGTGATTCCATAAGTTATTCCATTTCTTATAAATTAAATTCAAATTTTTTCCTGTATAATGTTGCATGTTGTGGGTAATATAAACGGGAAGGGATGTACAAACTGTTAAATTATCCGGTTAGATGATGAACGAGCATTGATACAATTGGCTAGTCTTCGCGAATGCCGAGACGCATAGAACCCTCCCAATAGAAAAATACGTATACATCTAAAACTGCAATTGCCGACCAGTTGGCTCATAGGATAATAATAATACGTATTGTAGACATCAAAATTCTTCACTAATAGGGCCTTCTTCCATTGTGATATCTCGCGTTCTTGTTACTACTCGGATTAGCAAGTGATCTACATACAGTACCCGGGTGATCATCCATACGTGTGAAGTAAAAATTTCACTAACACGATGCAATAAGTAAATTTACTGCATACGTTTTATAAGTTTCACAGACTTATATAAATATTGAGTGAAAGATAAAGGCCTACGTCGAAGATAAAGATTTACGAAATTCTATGTCAGAACGTTAGTTATAATGTAATGCGGCGAGCATTGAAATGATGGAGAGGATTTAGTCTAACTTGCCAGTATAGATTGGTCTTGGGCAAGTAATATCCTTGAATTCATCTCTAACAAATGGGCGGATATTATGATAAAGATATTCTCGCACTTTTATAATCCAAAGGAGGTGTTAGTATTAGGATTGAAAGAAGCAACCAGCTGAGCTTTGACAGCACCAGGTTTGGCTGCTTCGAATACAAAATACTGTAAGCCACTCAATTTTTTAAAGAAAATTCCCAACACGAAATTCATAGCACTGAGCTTTGTTTAATCCAGCGTATTCGACCTTTTCACAACCTCAACAATATGATCCACACAAGCTACAGTCGTTTTGCGGTATAGTTTCTTCATCAATCCAAAACTACCCATAACACTTAAATTTAGCATGTCCAGGCACCATAAAATTTAATTCGATACTTTCATATAACCGCAGATTACTAAATATTGGTAAAATCAAATGGTAGCATTATTTTTATTCTGACCACCAGCGTTATCACAAGTAATTTTTAAATGTTTTTCGCCTTTATTCAATCTCTTAATTCCATCGAATACCATGCTCAGCGTGCCATTAGAACCTTTGCCTATTGTTTCGTTCTCATCGAGAACGTAATTAATTTGTTCGCGTACTGCTTCATCTTGAATACCAAATAAATGCACTTTACGCGGACTAAGATAATAGATCTTACTTACCTGTTGATTGGAATGGGGCACGCGAACGCTTTGTGCTCAATCGTAACAGTAGTGTCAATACCTTCGGTCACATGATAATTCTTGTCCACTATTTTCTCTGTTGTTCAGCTAATTTCGTATTTTTGTATAATAATTTCTTTCTAATTTAGCCTTAACTAGATGTTCTTTGTATTTTTTCAATAAGTCTTTTGTTTCCTCCTCCTTACGAGCATTATACTGTAAACCATTCCGAAAATGTTGGCACGCATCACATAATCCGTTCTTGGGTTCACAATTTGAATATAAGGCGTTAATTGGTGTGCGGAACGCATCGTATTTTAACAATTTCAACGCGACAAAATTGCGATAGACCGATTTATAACTCGTTTCAGCTGGCAAAAGTGTAAGCGATTGAGTAATGCGATTGACGTTTCTACCAAGGCTTGGTAGTCCATGAATTTCAGCATAATTCTCAAGAAAATTCTTCACGGCTGTAGCAACGGTTATATCAATGGTTATTTTGGTCTGCCATCGCGGCACTCTTTTCACATTGCTATGAACACATGGTATTTAGTATTATCCCTTAATCTGTAGGCCAATTTTTGGCAATTTTGACACATAATCTTATGATGCATTTTTGAGAACAATATTTGCACTTTGACCATTGAGAAAAATAATTTACCTAATCCTGGAGATTTAAATGAGCAAAATTACATAGTAATAGTGAAAGGATGTGTGGTTGAAGAATAATGCACATTTAATTTTATTTTTTAAAAAATGTTTAGGTAAAATTTTCAAACTTTTGCAAATTCTGCTTTATTTGAACTATGGCATGCCTCAAATCAAGAAAGTGGCTAGTTTTTACAGAATATTTGATATCTAGTAGTAGTAGAGGACATGCCTCATCAAACCTAAACAAAACATTCATGCACATATTGTTTGGATCTCTTAAGTATTGCTGTATATAATAGTATACCAGAAGTTTTTCAAGGGCGTTTTCAAGTGTGTTGGGAAAGCTGATATCTTTCTTTTTCTTTCATTCTAAGTTTGTCTTTGTCTAATTGCATTTTGTCTGTTTTTATATGTTCCTTTGCCCATTCTTTGGGAGTTTTTGATGAGTCTGCAAGTTCCTCAAGACATGTGGCAAAGTATGCAACATATGTCATCTCTGCTTCTCTAACATAACACCCTCCAAATTGATGAACAATATGGATAACCATTTCCCTTCTGAAAGCTGCAATAAAATATGTAAATGTCTTTTGTATTCTGTAGCCAGCTGACGGATGGCTTGCGACTTTCCCCAGCCACTTGCCTTTGCCTATACGATACGTGGCTGTCAACGTCCCTCTCCAAAACCAGGAATATAAATCCTAGTTCCTAGTTATTACTCCTCGACATTTTCCTAGTAGACTGTGTAGTATTATTATAGGATGTTGACGGACGGTTGCGCCGTGTAATAGTATTATTATAGGACGGTGACTCTACTATTCCAAAAATGAGCAGTTAAATATAATATAAGTGAGCAGAAAACTACCAGAATCAAATTTCAATTAACAAAGATAGATTATATCGATAAACCTACCAGAAGAAGGCTCAGCTATACCCGTAGCATAATAATAACATAAACCCAATTTATAATAAGAATATGGATGCCCTAATTGGGCTGCTTTTTTATATGCCAATGCAGCAAGCCGGTAACACTGTCCTATACCATCCCCGTTCTCATACCGTTGCGCAAGGATGAATAATGCATTGGCCAATTCCTCGTTGAGCTGCTTTTTGGAAACATTCGGTTGCTTTCTGTCTATGCCAGTACCGTATTCGTAGCACCAGCCAAGAGCAAACACCCATAATAACTCTTATACCCTCGAGTTCATCTTTGAATGAGTTTACATATAACCTAGCTCTGCTACGATGCAGCTCATCCCAACTGATAACTTGATATCATTGTTTGTTATGTAGCGGCTTGTGGTTATAACATTCGTAACTATCCTCCCAATAAACGTGCGTTGCTTGCTTGCTTACTATGTTCTTCAAGATATTTTTCGTATGCAATCTTCCGCTTGTTCCAAGGTTGCGTTGGGATTTCTCCGCCGTATTATAAAGAACTCGCTTTCACTCAGTCCATGTTGCCAGTAGTATCTTGCTGCGCTCCCTTGCATCATGGGGCATATCACGTTGTAGACCAATTGCATGCATCAAATCAGATTGTCCGAACTGCGCCCCTGTGATTGATGTTTAACCTCCACAAATGCAACGCCGGGCTTTGCATTTATGGAGGGGTTCCTTATTAGGAAATATATTTCAAGAGCGCTGCAACAATAGAAATAATAAATTCAACAGATGCGCTTTTGTCAAGACTATAAGAAACGATCTTACGTTGATAGGTCGCTCAATCAGCGAAGGAAGCTTTTACGTTAAATTGCTTTTTTTTACCTTTCTTCAAGTTATTTTTTCTTTCTTGGTTCAACATGTGTTGGTGTTAATGTTCGTTTATTAGTTATTATTTTCCTTTTTTGATAAACTTCATAAGTAATTTTTTCTTTATCTATGTTACGGTCGGGAATTAAATGGGGGCTTGGGGAGAGCGATTTATCTTTCGCGTAGGCGTGTTCGTCGACCGGGAGAAGTTACCAGGCTTAGCTCGTACTATCGCCCTTAATACGATAGTTGTACAATTAAGACTGAATTAAGCCTACAAGTGACCTTAATTATTTATGCGCGCTTTTCGTTCCCTATCCGAGTTTCAAACAAATAAGGGTATCTCTAATAGAATAATAACAACAATGATTCTACTGTATTAAAGAATCGAAGTGGAATAATGCTATTTTAAAAATAATATAAACAGGGCTATCTTCGATTTGTTTGTTGTTCTACTAAACTAATTAAACAAAACTCTCGTTCCGTTATTCACGTAATTGATCCGCGGACAACTTACTAGTTTGATCAAATCAATGCTATTCCGTTACAGTTTAAATGAGCCGTTTATTGGAGTGTCCGGCCTAACAATCAATTATTTCGACGATAAAAGAATTAAAACGTATATTGATTAAAGGATTTCGGGAGAACACTACTAATATCAGTAATACTATTAATTTATTTGAATAACAACTTCACGTTCGATGTTCGCACAACACAATCTTTTGACGATGGAAATTGAGCTACTTATATATCTTTTAGCGTCGCAGAAAAAGTGAACCGCTTTTAGACTACTAATTCCTATGAAGAGTAATTGGATAAAATATAATGTCAATCGTGGGCTTTCTTGACTGCAGAGGAAGATTTTATCATCAGATCAGCTTGCCATAACATATAGATATCCCTGGAGAGTTTGATTTTAAAAACATAATAATAAGGGGCGATTATTTCTCCTTGAGCTTTCTTTAATGGTGCTGCTCCATAATAATAATGGATTTGATGTAAATTAGTTTCATATTAATATTTTTATACAGAGATAGCCATATTAATATACACAGTAAATAGCACAATCAATTTAAACGCCTTTGACTTTTCTTTTCTCTTCATCATCTTGCTCGTTATCATCCTGCTTTCCATCTTGATCTCAATTTCTCACCTCTTCATCTTCAACTTCAAACTCACTCTTTACTCTTGGGTGTATCTCCACCCTATGTTTTACATTAATGCAAAATATTTAAATCTCTTTGATATCCTATTACAATACATAATAGCTTAATATTATTACTGATAATTTTCATAGTGTTAAATAATACATTTTAGTTCTTTGGACTTTTAAATTCAAATAAATAGTAAGACTAAAACCGACATGTTTTATTTCTACTTAATATTAAATAAATCAATGTGTTTAGTACTTGATATTCTGTTCCAATTTTGGCCCCTCTGATTGGTGGCCGCAAAATCATGCGAACGGACAAAAAAAAGCAACGTGTACCACGATGTCAAGTATGTCTGTTGTAACGCAGAGAGAAAAACTGAAAAAGATGATTTGAAGTCACCCATAAGCGACATACAGCAGATCGGAAACACATAACGAAACGCGGAAAATTTGTCCTCAATTTGCACCATTCTCTGATTGGAGTTTTGCGTCCCTTTATTAGTTACACCTACGATTGAACGCTAAAGGTGTACTTGCACTAAAAAGGCGCCATTATAAACCCTCATCTTAATTAAGTTATTATATTACTCATTAACAGTACCCGAATCAAAGTCATTTGGAAAAAAAAATGACACGACTTCAGTGCAGTCATATTGGGCGGTAATGACCTTTGTTAGATTTTTGGAATCACAATTTGCAAGAAAAATGGGATTCTTTCAGTATTAGTCCTTATTTGGATTGAGCAGTCTGGCTGACAACCATATCTGATGCGCTTCATTCCTTCATCTCTGGTATTTTTCCCAAGTCAGGAAGCCTATGTTATAATACTAATACCCTTCCAATAAATGCTGAAAATTTCTACCACGGCTACGAAATAAATTGGCCGTTTGTTAATTTTTTAAATTCTCTTTAGTTGGCTTGGTTACTGGATTTATCATTTGACAATTGGTTCTGTAATCAGACTAGAATCACTTTATACAATTGTTTATGACCATGCATTATCTCCTCAAGAAGCTAGTCGAGGCCAGACTCGAGTCTCCAGAGAGTTGTTTTTCTCCGGCTTTTTTCCCCTTAGAGCTTCCAATGGCTGTAACGGTTTAATTACAATGTTTTCTTTTCTTCCTGCGGAACGTTTAGGTGGGAGGAAGAAAGACGATTACATTGTCGCAAGCAAATATGATAACCGTTTTTAAAGCTATTTATTGTACAACGTAAGACGGCATATTGTCCATTAATGACGTTACATATCAATAACACGTTGTCGTCACCGATTCATTGACTCATCGCCGTCGTTACTCCGACGATCTACTCGTTGGTTTGAAAAAGGATAATTTTGCTGAAAAATATTCCGAGACGTAGCACAGTATTCAGCCTTCCCCACGCTATTAATTGATCGTTACAGCGATCCAATTCATTCATATTCTATCAACAATAATGTCTTCTTCTTCCTCTTCTTCTCTCAATTCTTCTCCCACTTCTTCTTCCTCTTCCTCTTCTCCCCCTTCTTCTCCCCCACCCCCCTCCTCTATTTCCTCTACTCGTGCTAACGAAAAAACGGCAAAGCCCAAAGTAGAACTAATATTCTCAAACTCTGTAAAATACTCTGTGCACAAATCACGAATACATTACGAGAAACTATCTACATTTATTGAAGAATGGTTACGATATGTCAACACATTCAACTATCCATATACAATGTATTGCGACGATAGCAAAGAGGCATGCGAATGGCATTCGGAGAAGGAAGATGTTGTACAGAAAATCAAGGAACTGATGGAGAGCGAAGAGGGTACATACATAGATAGTCTGATCTTTGTGGCAGACAAAACGGTAAGTTTCATCCTTGATACATGTGTAGGTGCTCTGTTGAAAAAGGGATCCATGGGGTTTTGTATTCTCTTCATCTGATTTACATTTAAAACTCCAAATTCGTATGTAGGGCGGCATTCTAACATTCGTGAAATACAATGTGGACTTTCTACTTCTTATTTTAACAGTGATATGTTTCCTGTGGTTTTTATTCTCTGAATCATTCGTGTCGAGAACCTCACTACATATTGTTGGTGGTACATTTCTCTTTAGATTAACGAAATATGTCGAATTACCATTTGCAAACTATTTCAAATCACTAACCCGTAAAGACAAAACCGAATAGAATATTGATCTTCCAATTCATTGACTTCTTGCACTTTTTAAATTTTGTTTATTCATTTATTATCACTAAACTGGGGGTTTTTTTAATAATATATCCATTAGGAACAAAATCATAACATATACTCTGATCACAAACATTAAAAATGAAAAGTACTTACTTGAGAAATATCGCAAGTTTGATGAATACACTGATCAGAAGGAAACTGGCCTATTTTTTAGATGAAAACACATGAGCTAGCATGGCAAGACGGCAGAGATCTCATTGGGATTATTAGGAAAAGCGAGATTGCGAACAAATCATCATAACCGGATTCTTTACTGGGACACCCTCGTCCCACAATTATGTGGGATTCTCTTCAAACACGAGTCATCAACTGTCTTTACATGTGATATTGAAAAGTAGACTTGAATGACCCCTGTTTGTCGTTTGTGCTATATATAGCACTGTCACATCCAGACCAGAAAAAGCTGGCTTTTTTTTCTTTTCTTTTCTTTTTTTCTCCAGCAAGTCGCAATTCTTGTTTTTTTGTTTGTTTGTTTCACGTTTTCTCGAGTTTATTATGTATCAGACAATATTCTGAATCCAAGAATTATGTACATTTATGAAATAAGAGGAAATACTATGAAACCAGGTCAAGGTAGCGAGAACATCACAGAGAGTATAGATTGGAGAAAAGAACACGCAAGTATTTTACAAGAAAAAGAAAGAGTCGAGATTAAGCAAACGCTTTCGTAATCTGATGCGCGCGAGAAGTATATAAATCCGCATAAGTTTAGGAAAAGGGAAAAAGGAAAAAATAAAAGCAAAAAAAAAAAAAAAAGAAAAAGGGGAGGGGGAGAGTCTAAAATTCACTGGTATTCTTTTTTTTCTTTGTAGATTTAGATGATGAGAAAGGAAGAGAAAAAAAAAAAGAATCAGTGCGTCTATATATTTTTCTTGTGTAATCAAAAAGGTGAATTAGAATTGTCTGTATCGTGAGAGTGATAAAAGAATATCATGTAGTAGAAACTGAATCGAATTAATCCAATCATACCCGACTCGATCCAGCAAGAAAAACAAAAGCCAGAAATCCTATTCTAACCATTTCCGAGGAAAAAGAAATCTATGTAAAAAAAAGAGAGAGAGGGAAAAAAGGGAGAGGAGTATAGAAAGATAGAAAGAAAGAAAGAAAGAGAAAAAGAGAAACATAGGCTACAAGGGATGCAAAAACCAATGCAATCCATTTTATAGGAATCTCTCTTTCTCTTTCTATTTTTGAGTAAATTTTTTTTTTCAAATCTTTTATAGAAAGCACAACCTAATATAACCCAAATCCAATAAGCCATCACCCATCCCCCGCCTTGAAAATTCCAAACACAAAAATACCAAGTAAAGAAAAACGTCTAACTCGACCGATTTCTCGCAGTTCTCACATTTGGACGCCTACCACCAGGACCTGTTACTCCAGCTTGTTCTTGCTTATCTTTGTCCTTATTACCATCATTCCCGTTAGCATTTCCTGAAGCACCACTTCGTTTCGGCCGTCCTCTTCTCACGCTCCCATCTTCTTCCTTTACCACGCTAGAATTTAACGATTCGGAAGACGTCTCCGCGGTTTTTTTTCCACCCATTACCGCGTTTTTTTTTACACCCTTTGTAACGCGTTTCTTTTTTGGCGGGCCCTGTTCGGTGGACTCGTCCTCTTGATCGTTGTTATGAAACACGGTGGGAGCGGGTTGGGTTGGTTGGGCTTGTTGGGGCGGTTGTTGCGATTGGGGATGGGGAGGATGAGACGTTTTAGGGGAGATGTCGGTGCTGCCTTCAGTGGGTGGAGGAGTTAATGTAGCCGACGAGCGTTTTCTACCCTGATTTCCCCCATTCCCATTGCCGTGTACGTTCCCGCCGGAAGTACCAACACTAGTTTGCGTGGACACGTTCGATACTTCGACTATATTCATTGCTGCGGCCTCTGCAGTGCCGATTCGATTGTCCGCTGGTAAGTTGACGGGAACGTTTGCCGAGAAAGTGCTCATCATACTCGCTTGTGCAGGCGGTTCCCCATGGTATGGGGCCTGCGGCGTTGTAATCGGGAGACGGATTGTCTGGACGAATGGTTGATTGCCAACAGGAGGCATCTGAGTGGCTACGGGAGTTGTGACAATTGGGGGCATGTCGGTGTCTTCAGCTGATGAAGATGATGATGGTGAACCGTGAGCACCGCGATATGCACGAAGCTCTTCGTCATAGCGTTCCTTATCGGCGAAATAACGGTCTTCGTAGACCTAGATTGACGAAATCGTGGTTAAGAAGAGTGGGAAGGAAGCGAGCTTTGATTAATGACGGGGATCTAGGAAAGAGAGGGTATATGGATGTATTTGATAGGATAAGATGTATAAGGTAGAAATAGGCACAAACGCACACACCACACACACCACACACACCACACACACACCACACACACCACACACACCACACACACACCACACACACCACACACGCCACACACCATACACACCGCAAACCACACGCACCACACACTCTACGCACTACACGCTACACACTCTACGCACACACTCTACGCACTACACCTGCACACGCTGTACATGGCGCACACATATAGACATCATACCTTTTTCTGCTCAGTCGACAAAGCTTTCCATCTGCTCCCAATTAACTTTACCAATTCTTTCTGATTGGCTTCCGGATTGTTGGCTTTCATCTCAGCTCTGATTTCGTTGCTGAAAATGATGTAAGCGGTATTTGGTTTCTTTGGTGCGTTTGGATCTTTATTATATGATTTGCGACCTTTGCGGTGAGTGCGGGGGGTCAGTGTGGTTGTTGTGGGACTGACGGGAGTGAGCGTTGGAGGGAGTATGCTAACATCGCGGGGGATAAGTGCTTGGAACTCATCGACTGCAGTTGCAGCTGTTCGCAAGGCTGTTGCGACTGATTCGTAAGCGCGAGCGAGCTAGGTGGATGAATGGATGGGATGGATGGGATGAGATGGATGAGTGAATTATTGAATGATTTATTAAACAGGGCGTGTAGAGACGAGGGTGTGGTGATATGACGTGATATAACGTGATATTGTCCAAGGAATACAGATTTTCTGCCATGTCAAAAGGGATTACTAGCATGAGAGATCAGAGATTGAATACATACATCGTCGCGCTTGACGGTCAGCATAGCTAGGACTTGTGGGTCAATCTGTCGCGGATGGGGATTGGGATCCATGGTAGACGGCAAATTGTAGCCTATAGATTTGAATTGTTGAGTGGGTGTGAGTAGTTGCGGAGTAGAGAGTAGGGTTGAGGGTGGATGGTCATTTTGTTTAATACGCGTCAGCTGTATTGCCAGTAATTATTGTTGTTGTTGTTGTTGTTATTATTATTATTGTTGTTGTTGCTGTTGTTGTTGTTGCTGTTGTTGCTGTTGTTGTTGTTGTTGTCTCTTTCTTTTCTCTTTCTCTCTTTCTCTCTTTCTCTCTTTCTCTTTTTCTTTTTTTTTTTGTTTTATAACTTTTGACTAAAACTATTATTGTTTTGTTTCAGTCGTCTTTTTTTTTCTATCTATTCTATTTTATGTATGACTATGTCGGTTGTATGACTATCGTTCCACGGCACTTTATGTAGTGTGTGGGTTGTTGTTTGTTGGTTGTATGTAGTTTGTTCTTCACCAGTTTTGTAGTGGGGGAACAGGAGTGGTCTAGTTGAGTAATATTCATTTCCTTGGGCTACTCCCTCTTATCTCTTACCTTTTTTGTTTGTGGAGAAGTGAGAAAAGAAACTTCAGTGGGAGTTCTGAAGTCGGGGGGCTTTGGAGTTTGATTGATGTTGGAGAGATTAAGATGAGAGTAAATGTTGGTGGTAAATGTCAGTGGGATGTGGAGTAATTCGCCGACTTAATTTCTTGGGGGATAATTTCTGGGTGATTGGAGTATATTTGTATATGGGGTTGGGTGAGATTGGTTATATGTTTATGGATGGGGGATATGAAAAATCACTATTTGATTTATTTTTGTTTGCAGATGAGAAGAGCGATTTTATGGAATTAGTTGGTGTGGGACAGAAAGATTGGGGCATAAATCCAGCCCGTCCGCAAAATAGCGAGGCTGATGGAGAGTTATTAGGATGGGTTGATCGTATGGGTGGCAATTGACTAATATGGGAAGATTGGGCGAATGGGAGAGTTGGAGATGGAGTGGGATGAATGGGGTGATTGTTAATGCATATCGGACATGCAGTACTTTGGAGTTATACCGATAATATATTAGGAAAGTGTAAACTCAATAATTACTCATTTTAATTGGTTTGTTTATTATAAATTGATAGTTATAGAAATATCCGGTATTGTAATAAGCGGGTAATTGTATTAGAATTGAAATAATCATTGTTACTATTACATAAATATAGCGATTATAACAAGACAAGACAAGACAAGACAAGACAAGACAAGACAACAACACAACAAGTCACAACACAGCACAGCACAACACAACAACAATAATAGTAATTAACACTAACACTAACAACAACAATAATAATAACATCTGGTCTTATTATTAGACTTACTTATTTATTTATATATGCTCATTCAATTTATTCATTATTATTTATACTTATCGATTTGTTTGTTTATAAATTACGCAAATTAGTCATTAGTGATCGAAATAAATTTCATCTGTGTGCTATATAAATCAGCCCCTGAATAACTCGGAGTTTTGTGACTGATAAAGAAGATAATTCCAGTGTTGGAAAACAGGAAAAGGCAAACCCTTTCTCTGCTATAAGTAACTACGGATACGAGGAAAAACTGAATTATATAGTAAATTCGTAAAAATAAATAAAATTAAACTCCGCCATCCCATTCCCCCCACCTCTCCCACCTCCCCACCTCCCCCCTCATCCCCCTCCTCCCTTTTCTAGCAGAAAGAGAAACTCTAATGCAAATAAAACTGGCGGTCAAAAGCAGCCAAACTATCTTTTCCAACCCAGAAAGAAATAAATGACTTTTCATAAATTAATCGTAGTAACACATAATACTTGATGGCGTACTGTGGGAGCATTCGATGTATCATTACTGCATGATGCAATTGTTTCTGCTATTTTTGATAAATTGTTGATAATTTTGCCTGAATGCATGCGAGCGAGTGCATATATGAGTGTGCATTTGTAACACAGATCTCGGGAACTTATCAGGAATCACATCTATTAATAAGCATACAAAAACAGAAGAAAACAAATGCATAGAACGAAAACATTGAAATTTAATAAATTGGATTATTATAAGTAAATATAAACTCTCCCATCAGTTACTAAACCCCCCTCTCATCAATTACTAACATTACTTACTACCAGTGTCTATCAATTCGCCCCCTTTTGTTCGGACATTTCCCGATCATCGTAACGCTCATTTTCAGGGATAACGCTAATTGTTTACTCCCAATAAATCAATCTGTGCAACCTAACGCTACATTGACATTTCACAATTTGGAACAAAGCAAAAGGGAACAAGGTTGGATATATTAGGAATATTGGCGTTACTATTTTTGTAATAAGATACGTTACTGAATGAATAACAGTGGATGGGATTTTGCGGGATAATATTGGATTCCGTGGGATTAAATGGGATTAAATGGAATACGCAACAAAGACAATGCTATGAACATTAAGGTTAATACTCTAACGTCTCAATAGTGACGATAAATAGTAACGATAATAACGAACAGTGACAGCATTAGGAATCGAGTGCGACATGAATTCAAAAATGGTCATTACAGACCCCGCAATAAATATTAAGTCAATATTAATGTGCAGAACTTTAAGGTTTTCCCAAATAATTAAAAACCTCTTTGTATACATGAAACCAGGAGTGCCATTATAAACTGTTTCTCGCGAGCAGGGTGATTTTTCATCTTGACTTTTTATGTCTACTACTGCTTGCTTGAGTATAAATCATCATCTCATCATTATCGTAGAAATCGGGCCAAGCACTCTTTTTTCCGGATCAAGCGATGAAGGTTTGCATATAACTGCCTATTTTGAGCGTTTCTGTAACTCCCAGACGCAGGGATGAAAAAAAATTTACCGTTTGGTTAGATGTACCTTTTGGTATTTCGTTACAATAATAATGTTTACTCTACTTGGCTTTGTGTTTTACGCCCGCAAAATCTCTCCACTATCAGAGTAAATCCGAAAATGTCTCCCATAGTCATCTGGTCGCATAAAAAAGACTTTTCCATACATTTATTGATAACAAATTTGTGCACGCTTGTCCAAATCAAGTGGAAGACTGAGATATTGGGCTGAGTATTACATAACGCCGATTTGGAATCTCGATACAAAGGCTTACATGTGATGTTTTCTTAAATGAACGCAACTGTGTCAGCCAAAATAACCCATTTAAAAGATTTACCTGCAAGCTTTGTTCCCAAGATAAGTGACTGAACAACAGGTCAGCCCACAATAAAATCCATATCAGTACAGTCTGTAACAAGTGAACATAACGCCACAGAAACAGTTCAGGGATTTAATTGTTAAGCCGATAATCCCCTGTAGTTATTTTATTTTGGCCAGATTCCGCAATGCTGTCTGTCATACCCAAGAAGTAAAGCTTGCTATTAAATTTGCTGTTTGAGAGTTTACTGCAAAACAGAAAGCATTTCGCAAGTTCGTCAGAATTTCTCTTCAACTCGTACTTGAATGTTAGTTTGTTTTCATTAAATCAATCACAAATCGACTTCACTAGTGAACTTTTTCGTGGGTAATTTTCCTTGGTTCAATCAACCTTACAATAATAACTTTGATGTATATATGTAACGCGGGTACAAGTGAAATTACTTGCCCACGCATCGAAATGAACCTGAGGAAGAGAACACTAGAAGTATACTGATAAGAACAAAGAAATAGAGAATGAGATTTTTAATAATAATGAGATGTAGTATAGGGTTTTCACTAGAATGACGCAAAGAAATAGGTTAGGTAATACTTTAGAAATTATCATGCAATGTTAACATCATACCGGTATACTTGAATATAATTACGTTATTAAACCAAACAGATCATAGCAACGTCCTTAAGAAGAACATGATATGTTCCAAGTCGTAAAATTTGTCGTGCATTTATCGATTTATTATTATCAAGGATAGCCCCTTGCAAATCGTAATATCAATCAAATGTGTTATCAGATATACACATAAGGCAAATTCCAGAAAGTTCCAAAACGCGTTGGTTTCTTTCACAGATTTCAGATCGACACTTTTCTTCTGTGACAATGAACGGGTAACTTGTATTATTTGCTGATTCAAACTTTAATCTTGCGTCAGCTAATATCATTTCATTCAATGCCATTAGAAGAAATGATCCCGAACGTAATTATATCACTCTAATATCCAGAGTTGCCGCGCGGATCTTCCTGGCATTCCCGAGTGATTACCGTAGATGTACGTATCATGTACTGCATCCGGGCACTTTTATTTTCAAGTTAAGTAACGGTTATAATTGAATCTGACGATTAAAGATTGGCCAATAATTGAGCAGGAGAATTTTTGAGTTTACGGATAATGCACATTGGCGATATTAATATCGACTTGTGATTTGATTTATTGGTAAAATTAATGCCAACAAGATTACCGGGAAGAGTAAATGCTGATTGGATTAGCAATAGACCATTTTAAATGCACCAGTTTGACTTGACAGATAATCTTTCGTTTAGGCTAAAACATTAACAGAATGCAATTCATGGCTAATGCGTTGTGTGGGATGATACGTCAACTGAATAGCTCATTACAACTTCCATTTTGGCAGTGAACACAAAAAACCAAAGGCTCTATTGATTACTACACTTGAATATCTACATACAGAGGAAATTATGACAACCACGATCCTTGTATATAATATAGGCCACAATAATAAGCAAAATTGAGACCGTCGCGCCCATCACGTTACGATATCGGCTTGCGTTGTGACGAGTTTTTTGAAAAAAGACGTTGCTACAACAATTGGCATAATAAGAAGCAGTAGTTTGCATTGTTTTTTATAGGGACGCTTTCGAAGCATTCTGAGAGTTGTTCGGATTGGTAAACTCGTTGGATGTGCAGATGAAAAACCTAACCAAAACGTTATACATTTGTAATAAACCAGATACCGGTAATCGAGATAAATGCTTCTTTATTAATTAACAATAACGGCAATATTTACAGAATTGTAATTTCAGGTCAAATTTCTCGGGCTACCATTACAAGATATGAAAAGACCGTCATAATAACGAATTTTTTGTGTCGACTTTCACTGTGTTGTCTCCTCGATGTCATTTACTGACTCGATTGCAGGGGCATATATATGGAGATATTTTTGAAGTTGAGTGTCAAAATTGGCCGGTGGTAAAAGAAAAAAATAGTGAACGAAAAAAACATAAAAATATTCATAATTTAGATGGTAGTAGTGTATAAGTTACGAAATACGATGCTTTTACAAAGTATACGCATACATGGGTACCTCGCGCGTGACCATCTTCGTGGTTCAATATGCTCCATCATTCGTAATCATTGTTGTTCTTCTCTCGTTAAAGTCGACCCTTTGGTCAGCTTAGTAGAATTGGAAATAATCATGGGAAGACAAGTTCAGAGTTTAACCAGCAATTTAGAATTTATATCCGCTCCCGAAAAGAGAACTTGTATAACCTCAAAATCCTTAAACATACAGTATTTAGAATAAAGTTCATTTTGTTATCCAATAAAACCAAATTTATTGTATCACAATGCCTTTACTGTTGTCTATTCATCCAAAATATAAATTCCTAATTGGCACACGTGAATGAATATAATTGATGAACTCATATCGGGTTGATAATAATAACACAACTGAATCAACCTAATCATTGATGTAAACTCTCGGTTGGCCGAATTGTTTTTTAACTTCAATATAATTTAGCCTGACCGAATTGATATTAGCAGTAATATGATGAATAGTCCGTTGACATGACCCATTAACATGATAAATAATTCAATCATCTATCTTTATAACAAAACTAAGCTTTAATTCATTAGATTAACATTAGTATTTACAAATGATAAACACGTGGACCCTCGGTTTTCTATCTGTCCGACAACCCGTCAAACTCTTTTCTCGTCACTCTTTAAATCTTTTTGTCCATTTCAATACTAATTCCCTCTGGTCAAATTTTTTCTCTGCAATCTGGGTCTAGTAGTGACAATAGGCACTTCACCAGGGTGGTCAATAATTACGAAAGCCTCAAGCCGTGTTGATTTAGCCCCATCCATATCGACATCATCTCTCTCGGCATCTCCTTCAGAACTGTTGTCTGAATGGAGGTTAGTGATCGTGTGATTACCGTCATCATCTCCTTCGTCATCACTGATACTTATCGAATCTAATGGTTTGCGTGTCTTTGGCCACTTATAACCATCATCTCCCCACTGGCCTGCTGACGAAGAGGAGGCCAGAGATGACATCTTTGAACGGTGGAGCATATAATATGGAGCAAGTGGCGTATTAAGATACATAGAGCATAGAATCATCATTAGTGTCCCAGTTATATGAATAGCAACGTCGAAAGTAATACCTCGATATTTGGAAATTGATTAGATGCAGCTACATTCATTGGAAAATAGCAAACAGCAAACATTCAAATAATAATATCTTACAGGATTTGGTTTCACTTCTCCCCCAGTAGCAAGATATCTCTGCCATCCATCCAAGTATACTTTCTTGACTAGGAAATTGCAAAAGCTCTGGTCAACAGATAAGGTCCCCGCGTTTTTACACGCATCAATAGCCATTGAAAAAGAAACAGTCTAAAAGTAATTATCCAAAACACACCTTGGCTCCCTTCACAAGCCTCAAAGCAGTCAGGAATATATTGTTTGAATCTGACATACTCATAAGATCTTTCCTTACAAGGCTTCATCCTTGAGAACAAGGCTGGATTTTTAGAGGGCCATGAAAATTTACCCTTCTTTATTCCCTTATTATTTCTATCTCTATTTCTATTACTATCGTCCAAGTCCATTCCCTCATCTGTATCTTCAGGATCTTTTACTATATATGCCTCAACTGCATCAATCTCCATCGGCATTACTCCAGACGACTCGGCTTTAGGAGATGTCGGCGTGCTTGGAGACTGGTGTATTGGTGTGGTCGACGGTGATGGTCTTGTGGGTGTTGGTACAGCTGACGACGTGCGCGAAGTGCGTGATGGAGAGGAATTAGAAGCGGCGGTCTTAATGCGAGCGATGGAAGAGGCTGCGAGGGCAGCATTGGAAACAGTTTCAATGTTTGGTAAATAGAGCATTGATGATACTCCTCGTGTCCGCCGTGCAAAATTGCGACCATTAGACTTTCCCGATAAACTTTGTGCTGCAGATGATGGCGGCGAAGAGTGATCGTCCATTGAAGCCTCGGAATTCGTCGATGTCGTCTTTCCCGAATTTATTCGACGTTTCAGTAATTCTTTGCTTTGAGCAATTAACTTTGCAAAAAAACTCTCTGAAGGCAAGTCCCCATTCAAGTGTAGGGACGGTTCGGAAATTGGTGTTATTTTGGTTTTGGTTATCCTTCTCCTGGTTCCTTCCATGTCTTCTGAATCTGATTCAGAATGGTAACTTTCATCAAAAGAAACATATTCTTCGGATGTAGATGAATTTTCATCACCTTCTTCATCAGTCTCTATTAGTATAATTTGACTGTCGTCTTCGACGAGACGTTTTGTTTTTTTGGATAGAATGGAATCCTCATCGTCTCCATCAATGACAATCACTAGATGTTACAAAAGGGTTAATATGGGTCACACCTTTTTTTTTATCATGAATTCCTTGATCGTCAATCTAATTCCTCATACCTTCATCTACCAACTTTCTTTTTACTCCAGCTATTTTAGTACCAGTTTCCGAACTCTCTCCTTCACTACTCTCGTCAAATCCGTCTCCATTACTATTATTACTTCCACTAGCCTCTCCTTGATCCCATTGATAGTCTTGAGACTGCGAGGTCTTTCCATCTTCTATGACTGTAATTCTGGTTGTTGTGGTGAATAACGGTGCCTTCCTATACATGTGAAGGAGGTTGAGATCTGAGCGGGAGAGAGAGAATACAAGGTGTATGTAATATACGTTGAAGCGCGAGTTGTGACAACAATGAATATGTTATTATTATATTACGTGCAAGTTTTAAGACCTTACCATATATAGGACACTCTTGAAAACTTGGAATTTCATGTGATTTTCATGAGAAGATTGATTGGTCAAAATATCGAGACTTGTTATTTATTCATTGTACTGTATGTTCGGTGTATGATTCAACGTCCAAGTCCATTGTGAACATTGTTACAGTATTAGCATCCGTTAACCCTAACCCTAATTGCAAGTTTTTCTACAAAAACTATATAAACCAGGGCTTTTCTGTTTCCCACAATTGTCACTTTCACTATTCAATTTTATAAGCTGTCGTTTCGTACTCTCATTGAACCATCTTTATGAAAGATTCCAACGTCTTTTTAAATTTATTATTGCATGACATGACTATAATAGGATCTGTCGACAAATTACCAAGTGGCGGCCAAATTTGTCTTTGAAACGCATACTCACATTTCTATAATGAAAAACGTAATTACCTTATTTGACTGTCGTTGAGCCATCCTCGCTGATAGAACCTGAATACCAGATGCGCATATCCCGTAACCTGGCGATTGGAACAACTAAGCTTACTGTTGCTCATACCGATAGGTTATGAAGTGAACATAACAAGCGTAATCCATAATAATCTGAGCTTCTCTCTTACAATAACACTAACAACTATTGTACACGAGTACCAAATACATAACTTTGGAGTACCTAATTGCATATTTCTGTACAAGTGAATTTGCACAATCACGATATATCGTAAATGTAATAGTAAACGTTTATTTTAAGGACTTAAAAACTATTATTATTAATACACGCCTACATTAAAACCTATCATTACTAATAAATTAGGAATAACAAGTCCTGTCAGGGAATAGGTTCCCGCGTAGCCTAAGCTGACTCCTTTTTTGTAAGATATCGACGAAGAATATTGCGAGCACCATTAACATCTCTATCAAGGTTTGTTTTACATTGGGGACAGCAAAACACCTTAGCTTTTTTATGAATATAACCGCAGGATCCAAGTTTTACTTGTGTTACTACTCGACAGGGATGCTCACGTGCCTTATGGATCAAATGCTGTTGAAATTGACAATGTGACCATGTAGAACCAATGCGTCGTCGGACCATTCCTTGAGTGCGAAATTCGATTAGTAATATTATGCGATAGTTTTCACAAAGCCATTTAGCTAGTTTGTGATGACAATCATTCACAAGACAACGGATCCTCTTATGAGTGCATAACGTAATCTACAATTGAAAGTAGTATATATGTTAAATTATAAATAAATATTAAATAAATAATTTAATTAATAAAATTTACCTGTAACGTTTTCGCTTATTTTTTTTTCCATGAATACAATCGCGTTTACTTTGAAGTTTGTCGCATGCATGACTCAATCGCTAAATTCGGCCAATGTCGTTTTTTACAGCTACCCCACTTGGATCATAACCTGTCATGAATGTACGTACACCTGGATCCAGAGAAATCACTCCTGATCTCTCCTATTACATTATTAAATATATAATTGTTAAAGTTTTAATTTAATAGATAATATAATATAATAAAAAAATTAGATCAATACCTTTTGAAATATAGGGCCTTGGTTTTCAGCCCGTATTTCAAGTGGTCTGGGTATACAAGATAATATTTCCCTCGTCGATTCATAACAAGGCGGCTACGTGTATCATATTCAAGCTTATTTGGAAGAGGTTTGATTTTAGAGAGAAATGAATATTCGCCACGAGACTTGCCCCAGTGTTTAGAAAGTATTGTAATTGATTGTTGAGGATTTTTTGGAACGGAGCTTCATCTTGAATTTTTTACGATTGGCAGCAAAATTGGAAGAATATCCTTTAAGCAAGTCGTTCATTGCTTCATCGCGAATGTCATAGGGAGTTTAAGTTTGGTATCATTGAAGTTTTTGGCGTTGAGACATAGTGCGCGTAGATCCTTCTTTTTTTTCTTTTTCGACGGCGGTAAGGCACTGATTGTATGTCCATCGTGCTGTTCCCATCCATCTTCTGAGTTTCAGCCGCTCCTGCTGGTTGGGATAAATGCGAATACGTTGTGCCTTGCCTGCTGAAGGTTTCTTGGAACTCTTGAACCTCTTGGGCGGCTTCTCTTCTCCTTCTGCGGTTTGCAGCCTAACGTAGTCCATTATGTCGCGCCACAAACACTGTGACGATTGCGAGTAGGTCTTCTGCGAGCTCTCCATTGGTATAAACTTCTGAACCGAGAACCACGAGCCGTGTCCCATTTTTTTCAAAGATTCACTCCACAAGTTCGGACACAAGCGGTCTTTTCGGGTAACCACCACTTCTTCGACTCCTTTAGAGTATATTTGTTCCAAACCCTGCGTTTCCAATTGAGCCCTGTGATCTGTCCGTAGGTTGGGGAGCTGAGGACCTCCTTTGTTTGAACCGTTTTTAGTGGTGTTAGCATTGAGGGGAGAGATTATGTGTTTACGATTTTAATTTTCAAATGAGCAAAATATTGTAATGGTTGAAGAGTTTGGGGGATAATGTCTTTAAATACGTTTATGGTTGAATGGCGGAACCGAAAACATGCATAAAACATTCAATCTTATATGGAGCCTACGCGCATAAAAATGTGGGTTGTTTAAGAATGTGAGTTAAGTGAGTTAACCGTGTTTAATCATCAAGTAGACTTGGTTCGAAAATTGCACAACGGTCAACTTGCGATTGTTATTAACTAGGAATAGTATTAGCTATAATCGAGATACGATAAACAGTGTTCATGAGAGGCTATTGTTGTGTCGATTAATGGAAACCGTTGCTTGACCTAATTGATTTTGTTCGCCACCAAATAAAGAATGATACATAGTAAAATAATAATCTTATTCTTGTGCTCAAACATAACTGATGACGATAACAAAAAACGGAAATTTGCATGTTTAAGCAACCTTCTTCGATGACGAGGCTAATAATAATAATTTACTTTATTGAACTGGAACAGTTGGGACTTGTACATAAATGCTTATCGCTTTGCAGTAGCACTGCTTTTGATCGTGAATATTTCTGCTTGAAATTACCGGATTTTGTTGAATTCCACCACATCATCAGGTAAACGTTCCGCATACACGAAAGATCATTATAATTATAACACAATGCAACAATATATGTCATAACTTCAATTATAAGTTTTCTTAACGAAACCATACGATGGATGGCTATCGTTTAATTAACAGTCGTTATCATCCTTCTGGAAGTAGCAACGGAAAAAGAGCTTCGTTATTGTAATTTTAACACAAATAACATATCGAGTTATTATTATTGGTTGGGTATGTCCACAGCAATGGGGAAATTTCATATGGCCAACCACGTATTAGTAGGAAATTAAATATATAGTCCATCCACTTTAAAAATATTGGAATCGTAAATATATTTATTATTTGTTCTTTAATACTAAAAGTTGCGCAGACTCGAAGCGCTCTCTAAATTTTGATAAAGTGTTCTCAATAGTTTGCCTCCCCAAACCGATATGATGAAATGGGCGAGGGAGGCCCTAAATTGAAACTAGTCTATTTGCGCATTACACTTCTCAGTTCTATTATAAAATAATCAAAAGTCCTTTTTTTTTGGAGATACACTGTTTCCACGACTACCAATGCTATAATAACTATGTCTTTTTTGATGTGATATTTTCTATACGTGTTGTTTTTATGGAATTCTTATTTTTATTAATATATATCATCATTTTATAGACAATTAATTTAACTGCCCGGTATGTCAAAAATTCTAGTTTTGAGACTGACTACGAATCCTTTTGCGACAAGCTATTGCAATATTAAGAACACACAAACTTATCAAAGGAATAATCCCTCAATACCACCTTCAGCAGCAGTTTCCTAAATGAAGACAATATTATAGATTAATGTCTATCCACAAAACAGACAAAACGTCCAAGTGGACAATCAATAGTCAATAATATACTGACCTTAACAAACATTTCAAAGTATGAATATATGATTGTAACGGCCAACAGTATACCGGTACCGGATCCAAGAGCACCTGTTTATCGCAAAATGGTTTGTAAATATGGCAATTCATCAATGTTCTGCCCTAAAGTTATTCTTCTTACCGAGTAGATCAGCCATAACGGATAAAGCACCGATGCAAGCACCACCAAAAGCTGCAGCTGTTGGAATTACACGCTTCAACTCCTTGTACACAGATGTGTCACGATGACCGGCAATTATTATTCCTTGATCTTTGAGTTGTTTAGCGACATCGCGAGGAGAAGAATTGGAAACTTCAATCCACGTCTTGGAAAACAAAGCACAGGCCGACAAAGTGAACGTGACATATAAAACCGTGTGTATAGGATCCTTAAGTGCGTCGAGAATGCTATGTGGAGGAGAGATGAAATACGCAAGGCCGCTTGAAGCATATTGCTGACTAGAGCCTTCATGTGTCTGATATGAAAAGAAAAAGATTTTAGTATATATCCGCAAGAGCAGTTTATTCCCTCGTACTCTCACGGTACTCACCGACCATACACCAAGCATTCTAATAAGGATATTCTCTGGAAATCGGTTGTACATCATTTGTGAGATAAGGAAGATATTCGAAGTCAAGGCTGATTGAAGCATAATGGGCATATTTGATGTATAGAACAGTTTGACTGGGTAAGTGCTACGCTGTCCACGGGCTCTGCGTGAAATAACAGGTATTTCGACTCTGAATCCCTGGAGATAAATAACAATGGCGAAGACGCTAACGGTGGCCAAAAGATTCATAACATTGGGCAAGTTATTGCGATAGAAAGCCTCTTTCAGAGCACGAGTCTTGTCACCACGAGTAATAAGCAAATGGAACAATGCGATAATGGCTCCTTCGAACTCAGGTCCACGCCCGGTATTTACAGTAGTCGGGCTGAATGCCTTCCAGATAATAGACTCGCAAATATTTGTGGCAATAAATAGCGAAATTCCCGATCCGAGACCATATCCTTTTTGCAACAACTCATCCAAAAGCATCGATATTAACCCAGCCATGACCAACTGAATGACCAACAGCAAACAGACACCAGCCCCAATTTCGGACGGATCACCGTATAGTCCCGTCAAGACAGACACAGTTGCTTGACCGAATGCAAACACCATTGCAAAGAGTTTTTGCGCACCGTTAAATAGAGCACGGTCTTCTTTCAGAGAATAGTCAACGTCGATAAGACCAGCACCGGCAAGAAGTTGCATGATCATTCCTGAAGTCACAATTGGGGTGATTCCGAGTTCCATAAGAGTTCCACGGTTAGAGGCAAGAATTACACGCAGCCAGTAGAGAGGGTCCGATGAGTCTGACGACATGATGCCATATAATGGAATTTGGGAGCATACTAAAAAGATAAACAGCGTGACTGCTGTCCAAAGAATCTTCTGCCGGAAAGGGACCTAGTGCGTAGATATATGCATATGCAAATATTGTCAGCATGGCAGTAAACGATGTTAAATCATAAAACGACATTATAAATGTTAGAATCACTTGTTGTGAATACTCTAACAATAAATAAATTTATGTGAAATATTGCATGGCTAATAAACTGTTCCCAGTACCTTTCGATCTGGTGCAGTCACTTCAGGAAGTATGGACATAAACGGCCTGATGAGATGAAGGAATCGGACTGGAAAGAAATAATAAATCAACGTAATGTTAGTACGAAACAAAGACTTGCCACATACTCAACAAACTCTTTCTCGCATGTCTCTTGTGAGATGGTTTGAAATCGCATCTCCTGCCAGGACATAACGACATACTGGTACTGATGACCTACAACTTGCTAACAGTTGAAATAAACCGAAACTGATACGCACATCCCATTGTATAGCTTTTGACCGATGTGAGGATTAGTGTTCTATGAGTGTCCCAACGAAAAGAATGAAAGTTATTGAAAAAGACTAACTGGAAACTTATTTATTTGTATGCGTGTTGTTTCTACTGTCTATATTAATATCCACTCGTTAAATGGACGTGGTGTCGTATGATTGGTTTATGAAAAATTATCCGAATGTACGATGACATCCAATAAAAATGCTCTATTTTTGAGCGCGTGAAGAAAAGGGACGCGCAAAAAATAATCAAAACAAAAAAAGAATCGAAAATTCCTTTGCATTGCCTTTTATAAAGATACCATTTTCATTGTAACCCCTGCAGAGTACGCTTGGTCGTTGTATTTATTAGCCTTATTAGCCTTTATGCTCGGTGAGGAAACGATGGATTCCACTGAAACATTTACTCTACAAAGTGCTGTAGACTATATCAACGTGCAACTCGATGCATTCGGATATTCTTCATCTCTAAACTTTCTTGATAATAGTCGAGAGAGTACGACGCAGATCATACATTGTATATTTGGATTATTACAGCAGAGACAGGTTTAGTTGGACAGTCTTGTTGGGTGTGAGCTAGAATGGGAGAGCATTTAGTATTTACTAGCGAAGAGTATTTAATAGAATAGAAGTGTTATTATGATAGTAATAGGACTCGGGGAACAAAATATAGTTTCCTCATGTGACTGATACTTGTAATAATTTTTCGTTCGTTATTCCTGGTTGATAGAAAGACATTGGTTATCAAGATGAAATGAATGATTTGAACAGAAGGCTTCAGAGTGATCTTGAGCTTCTAACATCAAACTTGGTATGTATTTTAAGATCTTGTAGATTGTTTATGTTATATAAATATTGAAACACTCTACGGTTTGTCTTTACCATTTAGTCAACTATACTAATCATTGATCCGTACTCTCGTTATCGATATCTTTAAAAATTACTGTCAGAAAAGCACTAAACAACGTGCAGAAACAAGTGAGCGCGAAGTTGATTGCTTGAAAACCAAATTAAAGTATGTAATTATGTTTCTACTTTTAAGTGACACACATTTTAATATACTTTCAACACAAGTATCATGTGTCCAAATCCAGAGATAGTACGGATACATATAAGAATTACTTTATATTTATTATTTGCGTATTTGTTCATACTTGTTATTACGTGTTGACAAAACAAATCCGCCTTCACGGTAATTATTTGACTACAAATAGCTAAATAAGGGTTATCACGAATTAGATGGGCAGATGACAAACTGCGTGACGAAGTGGAGAAGCATCGAGCTACAAGAGATGATTTGTCAAAAACCAAATCCAATTTACAATATACCAAGACTCTATGTACGGTGAGTGTAATATGAATAATTTTAACTAGTTATAGTCGTTGTGGAAAACCCGACTTTGCCAGTTTTCCGACGTCAATGTCATCATATTCTTCAGAGATCATGTTTCTCATGCATTGCGCTTTACAACTATTGTTTCTATTTAGCACGAAGTTCGTAAACGCGAAATCGAATATGAACGCTTTAAAGAACGCATGCAACGTGTCCTGAATGATAGATACAGATCAGCCAAGATTGGACTAAAAATCCTCAATCCAGCACCCAAGCCGACTAAAAGTATATCAAATAATGGTCGAAACGGACAATCACTCGCCGAGACACCTGCATTTGAGCAACAAAGTGCAGTGAGTAATAAAGAAAACCAGTGGCGATACCCGGCATTGCATAAAAAGTCGATTAACTGCTCACAAATACATTTATGTAGGACATTGAAATGTTTAAACAAGTAGTAGCCGACGCTGAAGCACGACAGAATGAGCTAATACACGAGAACTCTAGTCTTCGCCAATTGCTATGCGAAGTACACGGCCAAATTTTGTCATTTTTGGAAGATCAGGCTGATGTATTAGAGACACCTACACCTGTGAACAACACTGACAGATTCCAGGTTGGTGAACCATTACTTGACTGCGTTGCCTTTAAACCTAATTTCATCTTGTTCACGGCTATTTCGCTTGCAAATAATTTACTTACCCTTATGTTTATTATATTCGGCCCGTTTTCAATCAAAGACGCCCAACACACGCACTCTTCGTAATGCAAAATTCCAACTCCCTTATGAAATGTTTGCACAAAATATCGAAACCGAAATTGCCGATATCCTAGAAGTGTTTCGAAATGAATGGGATAACCGCCCTGCCGCAATGACCACAGAAGTTGAACAACGAGATCAAGAATTACAATGTCAACAATTAGAAATACAGCAGAGGGAAGAAGAGCTAATGAAGAGGGAATTGGAGTTGGAAGAAACTAAAGGAGAGTTACAAGTAATAATGAAAGAATTGCAGGGCAAGGATAAGGAGATACGTTCTCAGCAGGAGGAGATTGAGAGGTTGAAAAATGATATTGGTATGTTTATTAATTAAAAAGTGAGGGCGCAGAGGCATGGAGGTGTAAAACAAGTTGCTAATATCAGCTGTATAACAGAGGATGTCACTCAGTGTACGGAGGAAGCACAACGAATAATTGAGAGATTAGAATCAAAGGCATTTGAGGATGGCTTGGATGATATTTCTGTGTATGTATTTTGATGCCAACTAATGTCATATTGATGTATTAATATCATAAGTTGCTAAATACCACTATGCATTTACTATTGTCAGACATGAGCTCACAGTACCAGAATACGATGCAGCAGATGAAGACATAGAACGAAGGAGAGAACAATTGAATGAGGAGAGAAGAAAATTCACAGAGTCACTGCTTAAATTAGGGAAAGATCGGGAAATACTGCTGGTAATTATGGTGCACATTTCGCATATTTGGATGTGGGTTGTTCCAATCCGATATTGACATAACTTGATGATAAACAGCAAGAAAGAGTCGAGTTTGAAATCGAAAAGCGGCAATGGAGAACTAAGCATCCAATGGGCATTATTCATACACCGTAAGTGTTATATGAGATTGATGATAAAATTTTCTTCATGCACCCTTTTGGAAAGCTCACGTATTCGTTTTGTTATAGTTGTAGTGCACAAACTTATCAGCGGACGCCTAATACATATTATGCAAGAGGAACGCGGGATGAAGTTAGTCCATTAACACCATTCCTACGAAAGATTCAAGAGACTCTTGTAAACCGTCATAAAATGATACCTGAATGAACTGAGCACTTTTTTGTGGTGTAACATATTGACATATCGCGTCTGCAATTTACAAAATACTGCACACGAGATTCCTATCATTGGACACCCCCAGCAATACCATGCAGTGTAATAATAATTGCTTCGGTTACAGAAATTATTGTCTTATTATTATCGCGTCTAACAAGGCAATTGTGTTATCGTAAATGTATTTGCCGACGAAAAATTTTTTTAGAATAAGCCCATGAATAAGCAAAGCTACCTTTCAAATCTCGCAAGAAGTTTTCCGTGCATTATGCTTATTGGTTAGCATGACCGGTAGTGTTATCGTTATATTAATATTTTGAAATCGACAAATTGTAGTCCCTGGGAAACTAAGGTTTCTGATCGTATTCACTTTTCATTAAATCACACCTCTAAATCCACACCCTCCCTAAATGCACGATTTGAGAAGCATTCTGATATCAAAGAATAAATAGCAAAGCCACAAGTAAATATTTTGTTTACTAAAAATTATTTTACTCACACAATATGTAAACAATATGCCATAACACAAAATAATATAAAGGTACAATCTCTTAATGTGAGTAGACTTTAAATGCTTCAAGTCATCCTCAGAAACCAATGACTTTTACATCACTGCCATCCACATAGATAATATTGGAGAACAGTTGTGGTTATAATAGGCTCCACTAAGTTTGTCTCTGAGCTCTAATAATATATTCTCCACCAGTTTTGATGGCAGGCCATGTCAACCAGTCTATAATAATAAGTCAAATAATAAAGGTGGTTATCACAAAAATAATAACAAATCCAACCCATTATAATTGTTATAGCAATCCATCATAATCAAGCCACATACCTTGGCTCCATCTTGCAAGTATTTACAATTAGCCTGTATTTGCAAAGAATTATTATTATTTTAGTTTATGCTAGTGTTATAGCAGTGGATTACAACAAGATATCCATACCCAAAAAATCTCAGCATTCAGGTGGTATCTTCTTTTTGTCAGACCCGCCATATTAATATTGTTGGCCCACCCTAACCAATAGTTTCTGAGTATTTATCAGCCTACAAAAAGATATCCAATGAGTTTCGTACCAAATATTTTAAGGGGGTTTAGAAGATGTGTAATGAGGGATCTGGAATATAATTATAATAACCAGCTGTCAATTTTTATCCTTCTTTTTATATTATTATTATACTGATATGAATTTTTATAAACAAAACCAAAAATCCCTTCTTTGTATATTTTTTATTCATATAATAATAATTGATCATAGGAATTTATATTTACTTCAAATTCTGCAAGTAACTTTGCCTTTTATTGACATCCCACAGCTGCTTGATTCTGGATCATAAATGCCATATTCTTCTGAGTAGGAAAGGTTTATTAGTGACCCAGCTGGTCTCTTTCTTTTAAGAATGTAATTGCTTTCCAATATTAATATGTCAGGTCTTTATTAAAGTATGCTTCATCAGAGGTTGGCTTGCCACTCGAAACTGACATCTCAAAAGTACCTGACATTGTTTATTATTGCACATGAGTTACTGCACTGTTTATGAACATAGAAATAAATTCTCTGCAAGTCATCTCATTGACACGGAAGTTGTCCCTTTTTTGCTCCAAGTCCTTGATGAATGTCTGGAGTGCATTGGAGCCAATAGAAGGGTCTTGATTTGGAAGATTGGCTGCAGAACAAGAATTATCCAAGAAATGATTAATGATAATATGCGATAACATTTGCAAACAGAAAACATCACATTTGTTACCAATATTAAATTGGCCAATATCAGCCAAAGCCTCACCCCGACGTTTCAGGAACTGCTGAAGAACTTTTGTCAACTCCCAGTCACTGTATGCTTTTCTACCTACACGGAATCAAAGAACAAGTCACATTCATGTTCTTACTGCATCTAGTTCATGCTTGCAAACCAACCTTCAATCCGAATAAAGAGATGGATTTCATGCTCATTATCTTAATTTTTGATACCACCTTATTAAGCTGATACTCGTTCTCGATTTCCTCATTACTTGCTTTATTATCATGTCCGTTGTATATAAGTTGTATATGAAGTGGTATGAGACACCCGGCTGCAGAGTTTCAAACTTTTTTTGACAACAGGTACGAATGAGGTACCAAAAACCAGAGGAATGCGGAAACCTTTCCTTGAACCACTTTGTGGAGAGATTACAGCGGACGATAACTACAGGTCAAAGATAAATAAAACTTATTAGCCGTTTAGCAGGCAAAAGTGGATGAAATCGTTTTCTTACCATCAGAGTCTGACACTGGATAGCGTATGACAAGAGGTGCAGTGGTCAGGTCCTTAAGAAGCATGTCTCCGCTAAGAGGCTCGTTGCGGTTGTCATAGGAGAAGAACTCGATGTCACTCGGCTCAACGTCTTTGAAGAATTTTTGATGTTCAATAAGTACAACTTTATTGCTGAAGAATTTTTGATGTTCACAAAGACTATTTCCAAGATCGTCCAAGTCACTGTCAGCTTGTATATGTTTTTTGGGATATTTAAGCTCTCTCGTCGCCCTCAGGAAGTATCCACAATGTTGGCTTCGCCAAACTGCGGAATCTCCTTTCGATGGTGGAAATAGTTGTGGCTATGTAAGCCCTCGAAAAAGTATTATAAACTGTATAAAAACTTGATTCTCATGAATTGTGTAACAATTTTTTTATATGGATATGGTCTTACCTGAAAAATGTGCGAAATCACATGGTCGGTAATAAACTAATATATAGTATGCATGCCAAAAAAGAGCTGAAAAGGAAAAAATTGCTCCTGGAAGAATGATAGTGCCTGTTAGACAGAAAGAGTCTCAAGTTAAGGCTCATATTGTAGAAGCATGTATTTAGCATCACTGATACAAAATGTTAACTGTATTTTTATTTCTTGTAATAGAAATAAGTGCTTGCAAATCCAATGGAAGCTTTTGACAAAATTATTAATCAATATGGAGAAAGATTTATGCTTTTTTATGTATTTATCCTTCTTACTGTTAGTATTAGTATAAATCATTGACCATTAATATTAATGTAATAATAATAATTAGACTTTATTTTTTAAAATAGCACTTATGCTGTGTAATATGCATAGAAAAAAAATTCATTTGCAAAATACTTGGCGTTACAATTTGTAATGCGCATGTAATTTTTTTCTTGCTGATAGTTCTAACACATTGTGTGGTTGTATTGTGGTTGCATCAGGTTATGTCATGCTATTGACGCGGAATTAAAATATTAGTAAAATAAAGCTTTAAATTAGAAGTTTATGAGAATTCGTTAAATAGGAATGCAAAAACATGGTTCAGAAGAAATTATTACATCCCGTAGCTGGCCAGAATGCAATATATTCTTTACATTTACCAGACATTACAGATAATCGAGTCCAAACTGATAATATCATCTGTGATCACGAGGAAGAAAACAATTATGAATGAACTTAAAGTATTATCCCAGCTTCTGTTGGATTATAATAAAAGAACTTTCGAAAAGTTTATGCGAGACATAGAAAAGGAATAGTGCAAATAAGAAATTGTGATGTGAAATTGAGTATCTGAATATGCAGGCTGACATCTATAAAATCTGATTTTACTTATTAGCTGGGGCTTTTTTTTTTCCTTGCGCTTCTGCCTAGCCTCTATTTCCTTTTGCAGGTCCAATGGTGTATCAAACCTTAGCGTTAGCCAAATTGCAAGAGGATCATCTTCTGGCCTAGTGAGATAAAATACAATCCGTTTTCGAAGGTAGCTATTAATGACCATTGATACATTTTTCACATCGGTATAGTACTAGTTCGTTTTAGTACCCAGGGTTCTCGTGTAGGGGATACAGTCAACTACCGTTAATTCGTGTCCCCCTTTAATTCGGATTTCCGATAATCCGGACGTTTAACGCCGGGCTCTTTTTTTCATATCCTTTTATTCGTCCGACAGCTGTCGTATTGTAAAATACAACTTTAATTCGGCCATTGACTATCATTCCTACATACAGTTGACACTCGAACCTGTTTATACCGAACCAAAATTGCCAGAACCGATTTTTTATAATTAATAACTTTGAATATAACGAATCTCTGGTAATAGCGAACTCGGGTTATAACGAACAAAAATTCTTCAGCCGGACAGTTCGGTATGGTATAAATAGTGTCAACTGTATGGTAAAATTATTCTAACGTTAATTTGGACGCTTATTCAAATTCACTCCTTTTAATTCGGACTCTTAATAAACTTCAACCGTTCAAATTACAAACGATTATCACAGAAACGATACTGCTAAAAAACGTTCCAAACAATATACTCATTTAACTGCCATACAAAAGAAGGAAATCTGTCAACGTCAAAAAGATAATCCTTATATATCCTATCGTAACCTGGCAAACGAATATTAATATGGAGAAGGAAAAATAAACAATACAAGATATTATTTCTCAGTCAAAAAAATGGTTAGCTATTGACATTAATGGACATCTACGTACTGTCTGAAAAATAAACCCGGAATGGCCAAACTTAGAACAAGCATTATGGTTATAGACAACGACAATAATTGAAAATAATCTTCCACTGAAGCTCGTGTTTATGCGGACCGTTTAGGAATAAAGGATTTTAAAGGAAGTATAAACAGTCTTCTATCGAAAATTTTTTTCATTATCCACAATAAACAACTGTGTATTTGAAAAGCAGAATGCTGACTACCAATCACTAATGGCCCAGCAAACAATTACTCAAAGAGCACAGGCACCAGCTTCTCAAGCTGTTGAACCTGTTAGGCTGCCGAGAGGTCCACCATCATTAAAAACAGATGAAATTATTATGTAGCCGGATACTTTTTCCCATAGTATTAGTTAAATATATATATGCTTATTTTGTTTTTCTGAATATTCAAATTTGCAATAGCTTATTAGCAATATTTATTTTTATGGTATACTTTTGGTTATTGGCTATGTTGAAAGAGTCCGTCACCTTATAAACTCATTTTTTAGGGGTGCGGGTTTCAGTCAATATTGCTTCACTTTCGGATGCAATTTGCCGTCGTTTCCTCTGTGTTTTGTAAAAATAAAAATTTTCGGTCTCAAGTGATCTAGCCTACATTAGTATTAGATCATCAATAATAAGTAAATATTTGTGGGGTAACTACCATGAACAAAGAGCAGTCAGTGCTACTTACTTCAAGTAATTTGAGAATACAGTATGCATCCTCAAGAATTCCGCAGTCACTATCGTCCGATGGTAACCTGCATCGATCGACCATTCCCAAATCTATATATTAATATGCCAGCCCCACACCAGTCCATGGCATAGAAACACCTTCAGCGTTCAATCGTAGGTGTAAACAAATAAAGAACGCAAAACTCCATGGCATAGAAGTTGAGTTCAAGCCCTACACATAAAATGAAATTAACTAGAATGTCAAACCTGAGTAAGTTTAGTGGTGGTGCAGCTTACAAGACTTACCAACTTGGAGCCAGCCATATATGGTTACACTCGTACGTTTATCATCTGGTACATGTTTGCATTCTCTTAGCAAACGGTTGATGCCGTCACGCATAACTATCATAAGCTTTAATTTATCGAGATACCACTTCCTACGACAAGCGGTGGGAATTCCAAGAGGTCCTAATCTTCCCGCAACTTCTCCGTATTGTTGTACGACCGGTGTTGTTGTTGTTGTTATTAAGTATAATCGTGTTATTGAGAACGTTGCTGGGGTTTCATCGATAATCGTTCGTACAACTGATTAAGCTCTCGACGCTGTAAACTTTAATAAGTCCAGTGTATGCCGGAAGCTAGAGATTACCAGACTGAATTTCTACCATTAGAGACGACATTAGAGATCATAGTGAACGCCAGTTGAATATTTCCAATCCGTAAGTTTATTAGTTGTTTTCCATCGTATTTATTATTCGATCCTATAAGTATTATTCCACCGTAAGAGTTATTCCATTATTCCGTTGGAGTCTTCGACCAAATCCTAAGTGGAAAAGGTGCAAAAACTATTCGACCTTTGATTGTTTACATTTAAGTGATCATCTGACGTACTAATAATATTAATCGTAAATCGCTATTTAAATGTTATTATTAAATTTGTCGTATAACAGTATATAACTTCGAATTTATTAGGCGTCTTAACTAGTGTACTTTTCATGTCGACTTGTCTGCCTATTCGCGCTTTTTTAAAAGGATTTCCTTCTTCGTTGCGTGCATCATTAGTAGCTAAAGCTTGGATTTCTCCCCTTATATATAGAGAATAGTTAATATTAATTCTAAATATCAATCAAACAAATGTAGAAAGATGACTTACCAAACATTTTTAATGTGATCAGTAGTAAACACTCCGCGAAATAATGGAAACATCGAGCACATTTTTAACTCTTCTTCTGTCATCATGCTTTGAAAGATATGCATACCGCTTTTCCTATATGGCAATCGAGAGTTAATACTGTAACCGAAGACAAATATAACCAAAGAAAGCAAAGAAAGCTTATACATACATAAACTGGATGTTTAAGTCCAATTTTTCAATACCATGTACCTTTTTCGTACACCCACTATCAAAATAATCTATGATATTTTGTTCTGCAGGCATCGTGATCTTGTCAGCAAAATCCTGTGACAATTGCAATATGTTCTCTTTAGTGAACTGTTTACAATCGTGCAAGCTTTCTCTGGTCAAATCTAACACTCCCCAGTAAGCAGGGCTATTGGGTATCAATAGTCAGGCCATTATTGAAACAATGATAAAGTAATTCCAAACTTACGTGATGACCCTACGGGTTTTGGGAATACAATCCTGATATTCGCCGAAAGATTTGATTGCATTTGCACGTATATATGGTGGATCCTGTTAAGATATAATTAGCTTGCTGAATATATGTTTACACTAGGATTTACCTGTGAAGATCTATCATTACTTGTGAGCGGTAGTTTCCTTTCTTTTTCTAGTGTTCTTTCATCAATGTTTTCCAAAAGGACGTCTTCATTAGATTCATCAAATAATGATGCGTTGTTCCCTCTCTTCCTTTTCAAATCGTTGCTCCTGTTAGCAGAAGTGAAGGCTTCGGTTTCATCCTCCATTTGTATTTCAATTTATTGTAGCATATTGCTTTTGAATATAAACATTAATCACTAACAAAAATAATACAAACCTTTGAAACAACAATGGGATTTTGAAAGCTACCGCTGCCATCAGGCTGAAATGATCTGATCGGGTTACACCAATAAAACGTGATAAAAAATGCCGATTGTTACGGTCGGGAATTAAAAGGAGGTTTGGGAGAGCGAATTTATCTTTTGCGTAGGGGGTGTTACCAGGCTTAGCGCCCTTACTACGATAGTTGTGCAATTAAGACTGAATTAAGCCTCAAATGACCTATTTTAATTATGCGCGCTTCTCACTCCCTATCCGAGTTTCAAACACTTGTGAATACAAATAAGGGTACCTCTAATAAAATAATAACAATTATTCTACTAAAGAATCGAAGGGGAATAATACTATTTTTAAATTTAAACAGGGCTATCTTCGATTTGTGTTTCGACTAGTCGGTATCCGTCACTTGTCTTTACTAAACTAATTAAACAATATTCGTCTCGATAATTAGTTATGAACTCTCGTTCCGTTATTCACGTAATTGATCCGCGGACAGCTTATTAGCTTGATCAAATCAATGCTATTCCGTTACAGCTTAAGTGAGCCGTTTATTGGGAGTGTCCGGTCTAATAATCAATTATTTCGACGATAGAATATTAAATTATGTATGTTTATAATAAAGGATTCCGGGAGAATACTACTAAGATCAGTAATATATTATTTTATTTCACAACATAGACAACATTACAACATGAAGATTTATATATCTTTTCTGTCACAAGAAAGACGACACGCCTCTATATAAATTATTAACAATTAATTTTAGCGTTTGTGCTGTCACAAAATTAGCGACACGCTGCTGCGTCTGTCACAGAATTTCTAATTGTTATTCCATCGTCAAAATTTTTGTTGTCTTTATACATTAAGTAAGTTCTTATTGCTGTTCTAGAGCGATGTACTGAGACTTCTTTTCTCCCCCTTTTAAACTTTACTAATATTTCTCCCATTCTATAATATATCTCTTTACTTAATATCATATCCCCTCTCAACTCTAATTCCATCTCTTCCTTCAATTCATTCCATTTCTCCCTCCATTTTTTTTCTCCCCCCTTTTTTCTTTCTCTCCTTCCTTTTTCTATAGTTTACACACTGCTCTCGATCACTGAACTTTTTTCCGAGCTTTTTTTTTAAGTTCTATGGACTTAATTTTTGTGGACGTTTCTGTGGTTGATTCCGTGGAAGACTCTACGGGAGTTTTTCTTCTAGCCCCAGATATCCTCATCGTATGGGACTTCAGTTGGTCCTTGGAGGATATATTGTCTCTCCAATTTCTTCTTCCTCCGACTGTTGGGTCATCTGGTCCCCAAGTTGGTTCTTCGATTTCGTCTTCTTCAAAGGCTGGCCTTCCGTGAATTGTAGGGTATGTTCTGGAAATCCGTAGTTATCATTGGTTGGGAATTGTCCTGGATAATAGACTGCCCAATTATTGTTGTTGGTTGCAACGCTACCAACTGCGCCTCGTTGTTATAACTATTATATCTGCCGGATTGATTATGATAGTCTGGGGTATCAGAGGCATTGCTTCTAGCATCTTTGTTATCTCCTCGTCGATCATCATTTTTGCAGCCTCTCGAGGAATGGATCCATATACGAATTGTAAGGCCATTCTGCGGATTTCGTCGCCCATTCTCTGTTGGTTTTCAGTGGACCATTGTTCAGACTGCATGTATGCCCATACATCCAGGACGTCGTCAATGGAATATTCGAAAACGATGGTTGTACTCTCATCTGTTCTGGTGGTTTTGATATAATCGGTTATTAGATCTTTTAATGTCAGAATATTTGATGTCCGTGGATTTTTATATTTATAGAATGGTCGTAGAGAATGGTTGTGGTCGTAGAAAATTGCTGTGCTTAATAAAAAGGTTACTGTGGGTAAGTTTATATGCCGTTTTCCGTTTTGTACTGATGTATTTTATGAGTTGCTCGTATTTTGCAGGGTGAGTGGCTTATTTTAGTCTTTCTTTTGATAGATTGGGTTTCGAGAGAGAGCATCATCGGTTACCAACTACTATCGCGAGGGACTTTTATTCACAATTGTGGCACAACTATATTCTGACCAACGAAAAACTTTTGCAATAATTGTGTTCACATGCAAATTTTGCTGTTACAGCACAAGTCAATTATACAAGTCGATATCGATTTATAGTAATAAATAACTCTTATTATCATCGAAAATTCGGGATTGTACTTGTATAACTGACTTTAAATGCACAGTTAAATACCACATCTATATCCAGAGTAGCTAATGCACATATTACAAGTCTTTGGACAATCAGCAATAAAATTAAGTCATACAGCCTAGCAAATTAAATTAAAGCATCGTACTACTATTATAACCATTGTAAGTTAAGGTTATTCACAGTTAGGCGTGTTACTGTAATAGCAGCAAATAAGGTTTTGTACTGTCTCCGATGTTTCTTCTATCCGATCATCGATTGATTATTATGTCCATTAGTTAAGGTTCGTGTATTAAAATTGAGACTTTATTTTATTCCGATTAATCGGAATAACCAATATACTTGAAACATCGGAACAAAACATCGGAACCTTGAAACACGTCGAAAATGTAACGATAATAATGTCGCTATACCAGAAAGTATGCTTCTATAAATAACGCGTCATTCAAAATTACTATAAATACATTCGGGGGAAGACTCTTTCCCGATGGCAGGACTCTTATTACCGCGTCCGACTTGCATCGCGTGTGGATGTTGCGGAGTAATTCTGTGTATCTGAATTACATTAACTTTTGGTGGGGTTTATCAATTGCCAAACTTTATTTACTTATAGTATATAACGTTTGAGCTAAAATACACGTATATCTGATCTAGATGGCCGTGATACGTCTTCTGGGTCTTTCAAATACACAATCAACCTCGTTAATCCAAAGTTAATGGGACCAAAGCTTACTGTAACACTTCAACGTGTACCCGGGGTATTTCCCTAATTGATTTTAGTATCCTGGGTACTCCTGTAGGGTACACCCCGACACGACGCGAAATAATATTGACATGTTAATATTATAACTGACTTAACATATGTATGTATTGATCATAGTGACAAATTGCATCATAACGTTATGCTAAGCGTGTATCCATGTACTTTCAAATCAATGCTAACAGAAAAATACAGAATGGGCTATAAATCACAAAAATATTGTTATTATATTAGTACCCGGGTGTAAATCAAAATAAACTGGTGGAGAGTACATCTCATGGGGGTACATATGTTGGAGTTTTACGGCAATTTCGGATTAGCGAGATTTCTTTCATAATCCGAATCTGCTATCGAACAAAATATTAAGAACTAATTCTTATTTAGAAAAAGAGTACGAAGAATGAATGCCCAATGTTAACAAGACGTTTATTAATTATGACAAATAAATCAAATTTCGTACATTCTCACTAGCACTAGCAAATAATACAGTATATCCAATTTGCGCACGTCAATATGTTAATATCGTCTACCAGCTTTTATAAACATTTTCTCGCCCTGACAAAACACGTGAGATTATTCGACATACTAATGACGTGTACTTTCTCTACAGTAAAAGAATTATACTGCACTGTTTCGAGGTGTGAAAATTTGTTAATATTCAACTACCTTTTGTTCCTCTGTTTCGCACAATATGGGGGGGGTTTCGAATTGCAAACACTGATGAGATTTTTAATCTTCGTATTTAATCTCACGAGGAATTTTATTCTTAATGACTTGGACAGATCGTCAGTAGTAAACAAAATAATAGATGAGGCAAATATGTAATAGAAGTGCGGTCCGCATTCAAACGCACGTTGCCTATGGCGCACAAAAAGTGAAAACAGTTTATCACGGTAATATTTAAGCAGAAATAAACATTAGTTATTATTATTATTATTGATATCGAAGTCACAAATTAAAGAATTTGATCTCTTGACGTAAAACATTAAACGTTAATTAACAAATCTAATATGAAGTGATCGATATACTATGCACGGAATGCAAAACAATGCTCTTTATATAATTGATAAGAACATTTTGATCTGACAACTTTTTTAATTTAGAACCCATTTTGATCTTGTGCATGGTGTAACATTGATCGTGAACTATTTATTTTTTCACATTTCACTAGTTTGTTTTATATCAAGTACAATGACTACCTGGAGGCTGTTAACCCGCTCTATAACAAATAATGTTTTTTTGTCGTCTTCACGACCGAGCGCGAGACTGGTTCCTCGATTATACACACTGCCCCGACGGCATGTCAGTCCGTTTACCAAGTTTTTCGAATCAATAAAAACACAGGTTGAGGAAAATAAGGAATTTCAGCAGAATGTCAAATTACTGCAAGAGGAGAAGGACAAACTTGCCGAGTTAGAAGCTATGAAGAAAGCGAAGGAGTTGTATAATAAAGCAAAGGTGAATGATTGGTTGTGGTTGAGTCAATATCCCCCGCCCCATACTGTAGTTATCGATCAATTTATTGAATCAGGAAGGTGCCGATGCAACCACGAGTATCGGGACGGAGAAAATCAAGGCTTCAGTTGATGACATCAAGAAATCTGCTGAAAAAATAGGATCAACGGTATCCGAGGCGATACACGAAGTTGGCGGAAAGGAATTTGTCAGAGAGAGCCGAGAGAAGGTCATACAGAATTGATTGGTTTTACTACCTTCTACATGCTGCCGTAATCTAACCAACAATCCCAACAGATATCTTCGTTTACCGAGAAGGTCTCGTCGCAAGTCTCTTCAACCACCGAACCGCTACGACAAACCAAGGTGTATTCGACCGTCCGTGATTCGATAAAAGAGACAGTTAAAGATAATTCAGCGCGATACTCTGGGTTTATTGATAAAGAGACGCGACGAAGTCTGCGTGAGGAAGCTGCACGTGAAGAAATTGGTAAAAGTGGACAGCGAGTTGCGGAAGATCTCAAGTAAGTAGCAGACTTACTGGTGTCAAGTATATTATATATGTTTTATTGACATTCAACATTTTTATTAAGGTCATCATATACTTATCGTGAATTCATTTTGTCTTTGCAAGTGCCGGGCAGGCTGTTGTGCTTCATAAAGATTCAAAATGGAAAGAGAGCTGGAATCGATTTAAGGAAAATAACGCTGTAATACAAGGTTTGACATAGCTATTTCGTTACTTTTCCATGACTTTTAAGAAGAGCAAAGATCACTCATTTTTCTTTCTTTATTTTATTGAAAAAGTCTTATTCAGACTGAAAAGTGGCTATGAAAATAGTGATAACGTCTTCATATCTTATTCTCGACACGTGACCGATAGTATTGGCGATACATTTGGTGATTTTATTTGCCCTTGTTGATCAATCGTTTGCTTATTTAACTTGTTGACTAAACTATAAACTATATCATTAAAAGGATCTTTCTTAGCCGAGACAGAAACAGCGCAAGCCTTATCACAGCTAAAAGCAATAGATCCTAGCTTCAATTTAGACTATTTTATGAGAGAGGCACGACAGTACATTGTACCGGAATTAATTGAGGCCTACTTGAAAGGGGATACGGAAACGCTGAAAAAATGGTGTTCAGAGGCGGTGAGTTACAATTGATTTGGGGTGTTTTATTTATTTATTTTTTTTGTTTTAATCTAGTTATCTAATGACTCTCAAATATTGGATGTAGGCTTATAACGTTCTCGCGCATGGTTTCGCGGCTCAAGCAAAAGATAACCTTTTGAGCGATTGCCGAGTACTCGATCTACGAGATGTAGAGGTAATGATAGGGCGCACATACGATTTTCCGCAGCACATATTCTTTCGGAATTAACACATTCCCAAAAATATATATATAGCTCAGAGCAGCTAGGATACTAGATAACGATATACCAGTCTTAGTGATAACATTCTCGGCGCAGGAAGTGATAATGTTTCGTAATAGGTTAACGAACGAAATAGTACAAGGGAGGGAGGACCAGATTGATCAAGTAACGTATGCGTGTGTTCTGACCAAGGAGGAAAGTCGAATTGGAGATCCCGTTACGAATGGATGGAAGGTATTGGGTAAGTAGCACGGGGGTGAGTGTACGAGTTGGATAAAAGGTTGAAAGCGGGAACTTTCTGCTGTCTAGAGAAGTATTCATGCGTACTAATAAGTGTACTTTGCTAAATTTAGATATGGCCAAGAGTGGTTCGCAAAAGTTAATATGGTGAAAATATGAGATGAGAGAATGAGCACTGAAAAAAGACGAAAGACATTAATGATAGTTATATAATTTTGATCGAGTATTGAGTTGCGTATTCAAAAGTCAAATGCGTGATCTTAATGTATAATAGGTGTTTCTATCCACATAGCCATTACTAACACTGCAGGTTTTGCAACAAGCGAATATTAGAGCAACAAGCTGCTGTTTAAACGTGTTCTTATGAATTGCTTTATATAACGGCGATGGACAGACTGTTTGTTTGGAATATGCTACAACTCGTCGCGTATCTAACTTAATAATACATGAATTTGTCAGCTATTATCAGATTCGGTAGGTTGGCTCGCTCTCTGGTTTGGGTTATTTCATCAAACTCTTCTATTATTCACGTCAATGATCTGCCGGTCTAATAAAGATACTGTTCTATAAAGCTTTTATGCCGATGCGTTTTGCAGTTGTCCAATATACATTTAAAATTATAACTGAGGTCTCTGCAGATGAGCAGAAGATATTAAATTTCTCAATAAAAGAAACTATCGCTAGTCAACATGACAAGGCTAAACTAACGTGCTAAATCAAAACAGCTATTCGCAAAGGGGAAAGTTCTGTTCGAGATAGAATAACAAGATCCTGACTATTATTGCATTCTGGTATTATCGTAATTGAGATTAACGATTGTATATGACCCGATATTGCATTACTGACACAATTAGTTGATTCAATTCTAACAGAAAGTAAATCTATAGACCAAAGAATAAAGAGTTCCTTTTTTCGATTCGTTTTCATTTTTTTGATGAATTTTTTTACAATGTAGGCCTAGCAAAAAGATACCAATAATGAGTCCTTTAGCTATTAAGAAATTATAGATTTCACTTACTTCATTATCAAACGCATCTTTTCGATATCTAGTGATAAATATATTCCCTATTAAAGGAACATCAAAGAACTACCCCATGCTTGTTCTGCTAACATAAAGTGTTCGATTAAATCGAGTTCACCTTACCTAACCCTATTCATGTTTCTTTCTCGGAACAGAGTATGGCCGATATCTCTGTCCGCCATCTTTTACCTCCGCGTCAGAACGGCTCCTCGACGCCCGGGTTGACGACTGCGAAGCATGGTCATCTACCGCTGACGTTTTCGTCGAAGCTGGCCGATTATTGGAAGAGTGATGAAATTTTTCTTGTCGTTCTGAAAGTTTTGACAAATCCTTGGATTCGCTCGGTTCTTTCGGTTTTTGTTGTTGCATTTGAGCAAGCTTACGTTCAAGTGCTTGGATCTTTGCGTTAGTGCTGTCGAGCGACAAGGATTAAATTTATGAGTACCATTGACGAAATTCAAAGCAATAAAAACGTAATTGTTGTAGAATCGAGTACCTAGCATGAAGCATCTTGTTTGCTTTCAGTAATGATATGGTAGTTGGACGGTTGTTGGCGATTGTTGTTCGTTTGTTTGAGGATCCAAGTTGACCATCTTCATTATTATGAGATGTCTAAGAGCAGAGCATGGCATTTTTTCCATTAGTAGAGCACATCTTTTCGTAAACAGATTACAAGAACAAGAGATATTAATACAAACCGCATATGCAAATGTTACAATCAAGGGGCGACCTTTGATAACCTTTGAATGCATAGCTGTCATGGCTTTCAAAGCTTCCTGGTGCCAAATCAGAACCAAGAATATATAATAAACAAAAAGGAAGCGTATTAGAATGACAGAGATTATGAAATGGAAGACAACGTTTCCTGTATAGAAACAAACACCAACCTCTTTACGACTGTACTCTAAAAAACAGTACCCTCGAGGTTGGCCCCGACGAGGCCCACTTTTGTGAAATAAGTAGTCAAGATGTGTGATCTTTCCATATGGCTCAAACAATTTTACTATTGTATATCTAGCGGGGATCAAGAATGTCTACCAGGTTTAAATAACGCCCAATAAATAAACCGCGAAAGTATATACAATGTTATATTTACTCGTCAACTGCAGCATCCAGATTTCCAATATATAAGCGCTTGTCGTCGAGCTGTGTTATTGAGTATAGGATAAATGCCAGCACCAAGAACGTATTCAAGACGCAACAAGCATTAGCTCACCTTGGTTGAATCTTGTGTCATATTTTAAAGGAATTGAGTGTGCTTGACTAAATAAATTTTTCAGGGTTCAAATGACGACTCAAATATGTAATAATAGTGGGGGGTTTTAATCAGTATTGTATTCTTAACAAGCCATTGTCACAGTATATTTGAGTTTCAGAATTCCAGACAACTTTGGTTTTGAACAAAGAGCAAAGCTCTTTACATTTTATTAACAAACAAACAATATAATATAATAACAGCAACAAGAACATCATCACTCCTCCAACGTCTCTTTCTCCTTGGCTTTCAAACATTTCCAAAATTTCAGACAACTTTTGAACAAAGAGCAAAGCTTTTACATTTTTTTTATTAATAAATAAATAATATAGTAAAATAAATAATGGCAACCAGAACATCATCACTCCTCCAAAATTTCAGACAACTTTTGAACAAAGAGCAAAGCTCTTTACATTTTATTAATAAACAAATATATAATATAATATAATATAATATAATATTGAATATAATAAATAATGGAACCAGAACATCATCACTCCTCCAACGTCTCTTCTCCTTGGCTTTCAAATATTTCCAAGAGGTATTCTACCTCCTCTTGGTAGACGTTGGTTTCGGAGTTCTCCAGGATCTCCAGGGTGGCAGTGGTGGTGGTAGTAGTGGTAGTAGTGGTCGGGGTAGTGGTCTGGTCGGGGAGGTAGTGGGGGAGGTAGTGGGGGTGGTGGGGGTGGCAGTGGTGGTGTGGCTACTGCTTTCTGAAAACTTTTTGCGGCGGCCACTTGTCCAGGAAGTCTTTCTTAACGATTGCCATTTCGAGTCACTAAGTGACTTCCACGCGTCCATCGCAAGCTTCATGCCACTACCGTTTGAAAAAATCCACCGCGAATATTTGTGCCGCCCCACACGGTCTCTTCGGACGCCCATCCACTCTTAGAGTATTGTTGTACTCGAAGAGTTCCTCCTTGCTGGAAACAAGACGTGCCAACTCTTGGTTAAACTGTTGTTCGACGTCGGGAGGAAGAAGGTGATAAAAGACATTTTTTTTGTAGTAGTAGTAATAGTAGTGGTGGTGGTAGTAGTAGACGGACGCCCATCCACTCTTAGAGTATTGTTGTACTTTAAGAGTTCCTCTTTGCTGGAAACAAGGCGTGCCAACTCTTGGTCGAACTGTTGTTCGACGTCGGGGAGGAGGAAGGTGATAAAAGACATTTGGTAGTAATGGTGGTTGGTGGTAAGAGTAGTAGTATAGTAGTAGTAATGGTGGTAGGTGGTAGGTGGTAGAGTAGGAGTAGTAGTAGTAATAATCACTTTGTTGGTGATGTTCTTTGCAAAAAGTAAGAGATGTCAGCTTTATAGGAAGTATTACCCGTAGATATCCAGGGTTGTCACACCATCAATTGGTTACTCGCGTTCCTATTTTTGTATCGATTACTACAGCACAAGAATGACAAATTGGTTAAGCACAGTTGTTTTAGGACTAGTCTTGTAACAACAAATGCAGTCGATTACATCACACGCTCATGTCATCAAAAAGCATAAGCTCTATATTTCCTAGTCAATGAATGTCATTTGTACAGTGTTATAAATACTGTGTTCATTAGTGTACAGAGAATCTTGAATGTTTTCGTAGAAAATCAAAGCAAACATCCTTCTTCTCTATTCGAGTGATAGTGACATTCATACGTTTTATTGCTGTGTTCCATCGACGTTCCATATTGTGTTTCTATTGTCATGCAGCTTATACATGCAGCAGCATACCTTTTAAGCTCCTGTTGCTCAGGGTAACTGATGGCCATGGACTGATGAGCTGATAAACCTTGTTGGCATACAGCATCAGACTCACTGTATATTACAGTAGTCGATAAATAATGATTTAACCAACGAATATTACTCATACCAACGTTTGTTATTATATACATTACGCAGTATAGGTTTAATATTAATTAAGTTTTATTAGATTATCTTGAATATGGCGGTGTTACTATATTTGCATTTTCTTATTTCCATTATCGGATATTCACTACTACTTACATTACGATTAACATATTTCACAATTCACTTCTTGTTGTGTGCTAGCAGGTTGGGAGGTGTCGTGTGTGCAGAAAATGCTGCATTCGTTAAAGGGGTTGTGGTTGTGTTTCAACGGTACTGGCGGCGAGGCTGGACGATTTGTTGGTTAAGTGGTCGTGATTATTATTTTGAGTCTGTATATGATATTTGTGAGTTTGTTGGTTTTTTATATTTACAGTAATAAAGATACCAAATTTTTTACCTAATGAATTTGTGATTGTATGATTCTACTTGTTGACAACGTTGTGTTTTTGTATAGTACTATTTCGGTTGGGGGATCATGTGAAAAATAAACAACTCCTTTCAAATAATGAAGGTGGATATCGTCTATGATAGCGAAACTACTTTGGTTGCTTTAAATTTAGAAAGTAAATTGTATAAAAAATGGTACTAAGTCCAGCCTTAATTCACTGACAAATATAATCGTCATTACGTTTTACATATTCTGGTATTTTTCTCGACGGCGGAGTCATGAGGCACGGCAAATCTGAAATAAAGTGTTTATTTATTTCTTCTTCAGACTAACCAAGAACATGCGGTTTTTTGTATAGTCACATTACGCGCGGCTTTGGCATATGGAATGATACAAAAAGCTTTTAACGCTCTGGAATCGAAGCGTAACAAAGACCTCGATGACCTCTGTGCTCGACAGCCATATTTCTGCATCAGGTCAAACTCAACTGTAAATAATGTGATCATTAAAGGAAAATAATTCTTACTTTACATGAAATTTTATGCGCTGTATCCATTACTAGCTTATTATTATGGCTAATTACCCCTCACGAACTGGGGAGCTTTGTCGGCCTTTGCAACCCTATACCCTTTTTATGTTTGGTGTGAAAGACCTGAAACGTAATCGTTATCTTCACCTTGCAATTGGTTAATCATCCAATAGACTGCCCTGCCCAGGAATGAAGTCAGTAGATAATAATAAAGAACAAAGAGACGGAATGTTGATTCACATTTACCATTAGATCCCAAATGGCCTTAAAAGAATTGTAAGATCATCGATAATAACAGTTATCAGTCACTGGACATGTCCAAACAGGTGCATTATTACACAAAATCTGATTGCAAATAAAGCCACAAAATACAACCACAAATTAGCAAATAGTTATTTGAAATCGTCCAACATAAATACTCGATTATTATATTGTTATGACCAACAGTACTTTTAAAACACACATAACCATAAAATATACAATGCTTGCATACTGACTATTTTAATGTCATTCTCAGTTTTTTTACAAGATACTTTGACATAAACAAAGATTTTAATCATTCAATAATACAATATGCTTTATCAAATCATTTCTTATCTGTAACAACAAAAAGAAACTTGGTGAAACATCAATAAATATTATTAATGATTAAATTTAAAAATAATAAAATGCTGTTATACTAGTATCGAATTGATCCTTTACTTCAATGAACTTAAATGTCAATATTATCATCCTTTTTTAATGTACCTTTGCTTTCAAGAGTTTCTTTTTTCTGCTTCTTGAGGACTTTTGAACAAGGCCTTTTACTTTCTGTGTAGCCCACTTGCAAACTATCCTTGTTGACACAATATGAGTTTCTGTCTTGTAAATGTCCTGCTGTTAAAATTGCTTCTATAACACTCAAAAATAAAAAGCTTTTTGCATCCTTTCAGGTTTTAGTTCACAAATAATTCATGAGATGAGGGCCAGGTAACATGAAAGTGGCAGTTAAATCTTCTATTTATAAGTTTCTGTAAAGCATCCTTGTGTAATTTTAACCTCCTTTCTTTATTAATATGAATAGTATCTCCATGTACTCTGAAAATAACATAGTCAAATGATCTCTTTCTGACTGTACTGCAGCTATTTGTATCCTTAATTCATCAGCAGTCATTGGCTTTCCTCCTATATTCTGTTTAATATTAATGAACATGACCCCAAATTGTTCCAATGCCTCATCAAATGCAAAATAATTTTGGTACTCATTAAATTAACCAATGCAACATGTTTTAAGAGTGTTCATAACTGAAGCTCATTTGCAAGGTAAGACAGAAAGTAGGTGACTAGTGGAAATAACATAATTATGTTATTTCCACTTAGTATAGGTTATTCCCACTCAGTAAGGTTATTCCCACTCAGGTATGTGTCGTGATCCAAATTTTGTGACACGGACTAAGGTGTCGT